TATAACTATAATAACGAAAAACAATGACCAAAATTGACTGTTTTCTGCAAGCTCATGAAAAAGAACTTGATAAACGTAGAAATTATTTGCTCATTGATGTGTTTGGCTATAACCATGATAACAAAACAAGAGAACCAAGAATTAACGGTTTTCTATAGTCTAATGAAAGAGATCTTGATAAACCTAGAAATCGTTTGCTGATTGATGAGTTTGGCTATAACAACTATAACGAAAAAGGAGCAAAATTGACGGTTTTCTGCAGGATCACGAAAAAACTATTGACAAACGTATAAATCATTTACTGATCATGAGTTTCGCTATAACCATGATAACAAAAAAAATGAGCGAAACTAACGGTTTTTTTACAGCATAATGAAACACCTATTGTTAAACGTATAAATTATTTTCTGATTTAGGAGTTTATAACCATGATAAAAAAACAAGAAGAGCAAAAATGATGGTTTTATGCAGCCTCATGAAAAAGCTCTTGATAAACGTAGAAATTGTTTGTTGATGATGAGTTTGGCTATAACCAGGATACCAAAAAAAGAGAGCAAATTTGACGGTTTTCTCCTATTTGATGAAAGAACTCTTGATAAATGTATAAATCATTTGCTAATTGAAGAGTTTTGCTATAACAATTATAACGGAAAATGGGTAAAATTGACAGTTTTCTGCAATTTTATAAAAATGCCCTTGATATATATAAATATCATTTGCTGATTGATGAGTTTGGCTATAACCATGATTAAAAAAAAAAGTTGATGGGTTTCTACACTGTAATGAAAGAGCCCTTGATAAACGTAAATATTATTTGCTCATTGATAAGTGTGGCTATAACCATGATAACAAAACAAGAGAGACAAAATTGACGGCTTTCTACAATCCGATGAAAGAGAAGTTGATAAACATAGAAATCATTTGCAGATTGATGAGTTTGACTATAACTATAATAACAAAAACAATGAACAAAATTGACGGTTTTCTACAAGTTCATAAAAAAGAACTTTATAAACGTAGAAATTATTTGCTCATTGATGTGTTTGGCTATAATCATGATAACAAAACAAGAGAACCAGAATTGACGGCTTTCTATTGTTTAATGAAAGATATCTTGATAAACCTAAAAATCGTTTGCTGATTGATGAGTTTGACTATAACAATGATAACGAAAAAGGAGCAAAATTGACGGTTTTCTGCAGGCTCACGAAAAATATATTGACAAACGTAGAAATCATTTACTGATGATGAGTTTGGCTATAACCATGATAACAAAAAAAGAAGAGAAGATTTGACTGTTTTTTGTAGTCTCATGAAATAGCTCTTGATAAACGTAGAAATCGTTTGCTGATTGAAAAGTTTTGCTATACCCATTATAATGGGAAATGAGCAAAATTGATAAGTTTTTACAGGATGATGTAAGAGCTCTTGATAAACGTAGAAATCATTTGCTCCTTGATGAGATAGGCTATAACAATGATAACAAAAAAACTGAGCGAAACTAACAGTTTTTTTATAGCCTAATGAAACACCTATTGATAAACGTAGAAATTATTTTCTGATTTATGAGTTTATAACCATGATAAAAAAACAAGAAGATCAAAAATGAAAATTTTATGCAGCGTCATGAAAAAGCTCTTGATAAACGTAGAAAATATTTGTTGAACGGTGAGTTTGGCTATAACCAGGATAACAAAAAACAAGAAAGCAAAATTGACGGCTTTCTCCTATTTGATGAAAGAGCTCTTGATAAATGTATAAATTATTTGCTAAGTGAAGAGTTTTACTATAACCATTATAACGGAAAATGGGTAAAATTGACAGTTTTCTTCAACTTTATAAATGCCCTTGATACCCATAAATATCATTTGCTGATTGATGAGTTTTGCTATAACCATGATTAAAAAAAAAAGGGTGATGGGTTTCTGCAACGTAATGAAAGAGCCCTTGATAAATGTAAAAATTATTTGCTCATTGATAAGTGTGGCTATAACCATGATAACAAAACAAGAGAGACAAAATTGACGGCTTTCTTCAATCCGATGAAAGAGAACTTGACAATAATAAAAATCATTTGCAGATTGATGAGTTTGACTATAAATATAATAACGAAAACAATGAACAAAATTGACGGTTTTCTGCAAGTTCATAAAAAGAACTTGATAAACGTAGAAATTATTTGCTCATTGATGTGTTTGGCTATTACCATGATAACAAAACAAGAGAACCAGAATTGACGGCTTTCTATAGTCTAAGGAAAAAGACCTTTATAAACCTAGAAATTGTTTGATGATTGATGATTTTGGCTATAACAATGATAACGAAAAAGGAGCAAAATTGACGGTTTTCTACAGGCTCACGAATAAACTTTTGACAATCGTAGAAATTATTTGCTGATTGATGAGTTTGGCTATAACCATGATTAAAAAATAAAAAGTTGATGGGTTTCTGCAACGTAATGAAAGAGCCCTTGATAAACGTAAAATTTATTTGCTCATTGATGAGTGCTGCTATAACCATGATAACAAAACAAGTGATACAAAATTGACGGCTTTCCGCAATCCGATGAAAGAGAACTTGATAAACATAGAAATCATTTGCAGATTGATGAGTTTGACTATAACTATAATAACGAAAAATAATGAACAAAATTGACGGTTTTCTGCAAGCTCATGAAAAAGAACTTGATAAACATAGAAATTAATTGCTCATTGATGTGTTTGGCTATAACCATGAAAACAAAATAAGAGAACCAAAATTGACGGCTTTCTACAGTCTAATGAAAGAGATCTTTATAAACCTAGAAATCGTTTGATGATTGATGAGTTTGGCTATAACAATGATAACGAAAAAGGAGCAAAATTGACGGTTTTCTACAAGCTCACGAAAAAACTATTGACAAACGTAGAAATCATTTGCTGATTATGAGTTTGGCTATAACCATGATAACAAAAAAAGAGGAGAAGATTTGACAGTTTTTTGTAGTCTCATGAAAGAGCTCTTGATAAACGTAGAAATCTTTTGCTGATTGAAAAGTTTTGCTATAACCATTATAACAAAAAAATGAGCAAAATTGGTAAGTTTCTACAGCATGATGAAAGAGCTTTTGATAAACGTAGAAATCATTTGCTGCTTGATGAGATAGGCTATAACCATGATAACAAAAAAAACGAGCGAAACTAACAATTTTTTTACAGCCTAATGAAACACCTGTTGATAAACGTAGAAATTATTTTCTGATTTATGAGTTTATAACCATGTGAAAAAAAAAGAAGAGCAAAAATGATGGTTTTATGCAGTCTCATGAAAAAGCTCTTGATAAATGTAGAAATCATTTGTTGATGATGAGTTTGGCTATAACCAGGATAACAAAAAGAAAAGAGATGAGAATTGACGGTTTTCTCCTGTCTGATGAAAGAGCTCTTCATAAATGTATAAATTATTTTCTAATTGAAGAGTTTTGCTATAACCATTATAACGGAAAATGGATAAAATTGACGGTTTTCTGCATCGTTATAAAAATTCCTTTAAAAACCGTAAATATCATTTGCGGATTGATGAGTTTGGCTATAACCATGATAAAAAAAAAATTGATGTGTTTCTGCAACGTAATAAAAGAGCTCTTGATAAACATAAAAATTATTTTCTCATTGATGAGTGTGGCTATAACCATGATAACAAAACAAAAGATACAAAATTGACGGTTTTCTGCAATCCGATGAAAGACAACTTGATAAACGTATAAATCATTTGCAGATTGATGAGTTTGACAATAAATAGTCAATATTACCGACGAGATGCTTTGTTGGTAATTATTTTTTGGTATTTTTCCGTTCACAATCAAAACTCTAAAGTTGGCGACTGAACGTTAACTGTTTCTGGTGTTCTCAATCGGATGTCATGAATCCTGAAAACGACCAAGTACATATCGTCACACGCAAAGAGAATGCCATGGAATGATGATGTTCGTTGATTTCTTATTTTCTTGCAATTTTGTTTAGAAGATGATTTATTATTATTTTCTTAGCATTTATAATATTATTGAATTTTTTAATTTCAACATTTACCATATTTTATTACACTAAACCCTAAATAATTTACCATATTTTCTTACACTAACACCTAAACAACCCCTTATCTCACATGATTTTACCATTCACACACCATTATTCCCGCGCATTTGCGCGGGCAATCACCTAGTTTAAAATTATGTAACATGTTGTTTATTTTTTGGCATGTTCTAATGTTTTTTTTTGGCGACTTGTGACATAATTTCATACTTTACGTTTTTCTCTTATTTATTAGCCTAATGATTTAACTCATCTATAAACCTAATAGTCCCAATGTCTTTTTAGATTAATTAAACTCTGAACTTGTATATGCAAATTTATTGGTAAGTGACTTTTTAAAACTATTAAATGGTTATACTTCGTTTTGAAGTTTTAACATGTTAGTTTCATTTACACTAAAAATTTAATGTAAATTACAATAATTTTTATGATGGATTTATACATTAAATAAGTCTTCAAATATTTTAATTTTTTTTATATTTAACTGAATAAATATTAAGAAAATAATGAAATTTTTTACGATAGATCATATGGCGGTCTCAGATTAAGTTTTCTATAAAAAGAAAATATTTAAACAGTTGACAAAAAAAATTTTAAACTAACTTACCTTGAAAAAAAGATGAAGTTTAATTAGCAATTTTAAGCCTCATCTAAACCACTTTCAATTTCGCCAAAATATTGGGCTACAATAGTAAGGCCCATTAACGAAGCCCATAGACGCAAAAACGGCATGGCGTTTACCCACCTACTTGATGAATTGCACGTTGTCTCAATCCTCAGCACCGAAACTTCGTGAAAGCACCTGAGAATTCTAGTAGTTACGTTTACATACGAACGTTATAAAGAAAAGAAACGAAGATTCTTGATTTTTGAAGATACTTGCAGAAGATTCTTCTTCTCGCTCCCTATAAATACGCGAGGGCACGTATGTGTTTGAATCAACAAAGAACAAAGAGTTCATAGCGAAGCAAAACTCAAAGCAGAGTAAAGGAAGTGAAGAAATGTCTCTAATTCCGAGCATTTTTGGAGGTCGACGAACGAATGTGTTTGATCCATTTTCACTTGACGTATGGGATCCATTCCAAGGATTGGCAAACACACCGGCTAAGGACGACGTGGCAGCGTTCACAAACGCTAAAGTAGATTGGAGGGAGACACCTGAGGCGCACGTGTTCAAGGCAGACTTACCGGGGCTGAAGAAGGAAGAGGTGAAGGTGGAGGTTGAAGATGGCAATATTTTACAGATAAGTGGAGAGAGGAGCAGTGAGAATGAAGAGAAGAATGACAAGTGGCACCGTGTAGAGAGGTCGAGTGGGAAGTTCATGAGGAGGTTTAGGTTGCCGGAGAATGCGAAGATGGAGGAAGCGAAGGCCACTATGGAGGATGGTGTCTTGTCAGTTACGGTGCCGAAAGTGCCAGAGAAGAAGCCTGAGGTCAAGTCCATTGATATCTCTGGTTGAGGAAACTTTAAAGTTTGGAAATTGGAAACAAAATGTGTGATGTGTGAGATAATTAAATGGTGCGATTTTTCTTTTCTTTCCTTTCTTTTTTCCTTGTAATCATGAATCTCGTTGTACCAATACCTTAATAATAAAGTGTTTGAAATATAGATGCTTCCATTGATAGTTAAGACCGAACCATGCAAATCTTTTGAGATAAGTGAAGGTTAATAAGACATGTAAAGAACCCTTTGATCTGAATTTTTTCGATTAGGGTTGTTGTGGATGTGAGCAGCAGAGGAAACGGGTTCTCAATAGTGTTAGTTGGCTCTAAAATTCAAATGATACTTAAGGATTCTTGGTTTATCAAAAAAAAAAAAAGTTAGAGGATTAGGTTAATATTTTGACGGAAGGTTAGCTAGAAATATTACATGAAAATCGTGTTTGAAAAAGCAATGAGGTAAAATAAGTAGAGCCGTTACGACATAACAGAAAAAAAACTAGACTTCAATTTAATGTGTTAAGTGAGTAGAAACCAAAACTAAACTTAACTAAACCAAAGATTTCGTAGAAAGCAAAACTAAACTAAACTAAACTAAACCAAAGATTTCCATGATAGTTAGAGTCTACTTTTGGATTTTCTTTGTATGACAATTTGACTGGTCTTAGTGGTTTGACGTTGCACAATAACTGTGGTTGGGAGACCGAATAACGAACAAATTTTTTAAGTTTTTTGGAGATTGTCATTTCTTGAAAATTACATAAACAAAATGTTTTCTTTTTTCAAAACAGAGCAGAATTTTGAGTATTAATGGGTTAATGGCTGATCTTTTCCGTCATCTTCATGTGGAGGTTGATCCTTCTACTACTATGCTTACAATCAAGTTTAGCATAGGCCCATTGACATATTGGAATTGCCTGTCTATGGGAGAAACTTTTTTTTTTTTTTTTTTGTGCAAATATGGGAGAAACTTAAATATGGTTTTCTTGTGATAGCCTCGAGCACGGATCCAGATAATCTATTATATTAAAACAGCAGCACAAACAAGATTTTAACATATGATTTTTAAAAAAATTCTACATTTGCCATTACTATAGAAGGTGTTGCCAAACAGACTTAATCTTTTTCTATTTTTTTATAACTAGAAATTAATCGGGTTATGTTTGGGGTTGGATATAGCCCGTTCGGATCGCGGTTTACATATTCGGATCGAGAATAACTACGTGTCTTTCTCTGATTGGCTATTTTCTTAGATGACAAACTAAATAAAGAAATATTTTTAAAAAACAAATATAATAGGAAATCAGAATTAAATATACAGCCCTGATTTTATGTATTTACCATAACTACTCGATATTTAATAGAATAAATATTCGAAATTAAAATTCATATCTCATATATTAAGAAACTACCAAACAAACAAATCAAAACAGTCAACAAATCATCGAAATTTTTTATGCATGCTTATGGGCTATGGAGAGCATGATAAGCATGCAGGTGCTGCGAGTGATTTTCGCAATTGAACCCAAATCTTTGGTGGGAGCAATCTTAAGACCCGCTGCTTGGCCAAATTTTAAGTCACAATCTGAGGAGCTGAGACATGCTCTTTCCCTTCTTCCGGATTGGAGAGTGGAGGCTGAAGAAAGAAAATCAAATTGTGGTGCCTTCCTAATCGCTAGCAGCGTCACAAGGGAGGAACGATCACAATTATATATAGCTCAAGGCTACCCTTTTTGGCTACAGAAGCTCTTTGAAGATGATAGATGCATTACCTGGTCTAATGATATTTCTGTAGTTGATTGTCCTCGTTCTTTTTTGTGTGTTTTGTGAACATGTTAAGTTATATATCATATGAATCATTCAGAGGAAAAAAAATAAAAAGAAAGAAAGTGGACTGTGAAAATTGTTTTGGCTATGTACAGATCCTAAACCATTGTCAATTAAGGCTTAACTTAATTATTATGTATATGTGGAGTAATTTTTTTTTAATATTATCTATCTTTGATCTCTTTTTTTTTTGATAAAGTATTTAATTAAATTGTGACAGCAAGAAATTGTACAATTAATTTAATTAAACTTTGACAACAACAAATTAAGGTATCTTTGATTTCACAATTCTTTATTGAAACAAATTTTAAACAACTAATTAAGGTAGGAAATTTATTTCAAATCACAATCTATTAAAGAAAAACACAAAACTTGACCAAAATTTAATATTTTTACCCACAAAAAAGAAAATTTTCCATTTTAGTGAATGATAGCTGCGACCTCGTCGTATCACAACCGTAGTATCAAGAACGAAGCAAAAGTAGAAGAAGGAAGATAAGACTCAGATTTTTGGGCAATTGATATTGCCTCTTTTTGGCTTTTCTATTTCTTAAATAGGGAAACAACAACAACAATACGATGGAGTGATCACCACTCCTACAATTAGGGAAATCATGGAAAGATAGATGAGTGGAACCTAACAAGTAGGAAGAAGTGAAGAACAACTCCACTCCTTATTTGCAGGAAACGTAAACTAAAAATGCAGAGACACGTCTTCGGGATTGTCTTCGGGCCAGTGATACCTAGGCTTGGTTACCCACGTCTTCGGGATTGTATTCAGAAAAGTCTGGATACTTTGAAGCGTGTATTGAGGATCCTTTGGAGACTGCTCCACCACTCCCCAGACCTTCAGATGCCTGATAACATCGTATTTTAGCCCACTTTTACTATGTTTTATTTAGGTTTTCCATGGAGAAAACAGGAGATATTGGAGATTTCAAGGATGTTTTCAAGTATTTATGCTTCAAGGATGAATAATGTGTTTCCAAGCAAAAAGGAGTAAAAGTCGGTCAAATCCCGTTTCAAGACAGTTTCTGTTCCTCAGAAGTATGGCGTCCGTTCGAGGACTTCTAGATTACCAAATCAAGAGATCTATGTGGCTGTGGAAACCTAGGAGAGTCTAGTTTCACCTCGAATTTGAATCGGAGCTTTTCAACGAGCCAATCAGAAGTTATGCCCTGAAGAGTAAAGACATGTCCCGGACAGGCCAGACAGGCTTGCGACAGGTCTGGAGCCTCTTGACGGCCCCGGTCATAAGTGCCCGTGTCCGAGCTGCTCCTCACACTTCACCCCGTTCATCACACGTCGTACCCTGTCCAAGAAACTCGCGCCTCACTTAACCTAATCCGTGGGAAATGATGGTTTTGCCCCTTAACCTAATCGAAGCCTATAAATACCGAGATAAGTTGAAGAAACCCTAGGGCCTCTTCACATCTCTTCACCGCCTCCTAAACCTAGATCTCACAGCCTCCATCGACGAGACTCTCAGCTCTCCTAGCTCCACCTTGTCGAAGCTCTTGCATCCCGAAGAAGTCGTCCTTTGAAGTTTTCTCTCTTTTATTCTTCATTGTTTTCTCTTCTACTCTTTCTTCTACTCTTTCTTTCAAGACTTTTGGGGAGACAAGTATCTTCTGTGACACTAGAGAAGTTTCCTTTGAACCCCCTTTGTTTATTCATATTCGTTTATTATGCTTTTCTACTTCATCTCCATGTCGTTTCTTAGCATCATGAGCGAGTAGTTTTCTTTGTTGGGTTTTATGGGGTGATCAAAGGGGATTCATGGTTCAAATCATATTAGGTTTATAGATCTATAATTTCGTTCATACTTAGATTCTTTTGGGACATCTTTTACTTAATGCATGTGTTTGGATTGATCACCAAACGCTGATCCAAGAGGGTAGGAGCTCTAATCAGGTAAACCTAATCTCGGACATAGTGTTACCAATCCTTCGTGTTGTTGCCTGCGTAAGTTGAGTAACATGACTTAGAGTACTTAGAGAATCCAACCATAATGCATCGAACTATGCGTCGTTACCTGCGTCAGTTGAGTAACGTAGTATAGGGAGATTTGCCAGTTTATTCTATAACCTAGGATAACTCATTCATTCGCCTTTCGTAGTTATGAACTAGAATGAAAACGTAAAAACCCTAGAGATCTAAACCCTAGTTAGCCGAGAACCATGATTCCCGGAGAAACCCCAGAACGCCCAACGCCTTAGTCTCACAGTTTACATCCGAATATTTTCTTGGCTTTCATTAGTTTACTTAGCTTTCATCTATCGCATCCATTCACTTTCATTGCATTAGTTATTAGGAAACCCAAAACCAAAACCCCAAAGTTTAGTTTTGTCCTAGCTAGATCTTTTCATTTGAATTCAATAACCCGTAGCTACACTCTCTGTGGGATCGATCCTTAAATACTACCCTGATTACTGTGCACTTGCAGTTTAACGTATAGTCTTTCAGGTAAAAGTTCTGAAGTGAAATTCTACGCACATCAGTGCCTTTAAATGGAGAGAAAGTATTTGGTCTGTAAAATGCTTCCAAAAGGTAAAGCTCCTTATGTGGAAAATGGCACAGAATGCCCTACCTGTTGGTGAAAATCTTCTGCAGAGACAACTTGTTCCCATGGTGATGTGCCCTCACTATGGAGAATCTGAAACAACTCTCCACCTATTCTTCCAGTGCTCCTTTGCTAAAAAGATTTGGGAAGCGGCTCCTTTTTGCAGAACCATAAATGCTTCAAACATCTTGTCGATCCTGGATGGATTAACTTTGGCCAATAAACTTGTGGGTCTCCCGCCTTCAGGTATTGGGTCAGGTCCGCTTGCTCCTTGGATCTTTTGGGCACTTTGGACTGCTCGAAATAAGCTGATCTTTAACAAAACCCAATCGTTGGCGGCGAATGTGGTGGTTTTAAGCTCTGTGAGAGCACGTGAATGGCAGGAAGCACAAAAACCAACCCAATCAAAACCAAAAGTTGCTAAATCGTCAAAACCGAACCTTCCTTTGTTGAATACTATCAAGATCTTCACTGATGCCTCTTGGAAAGCTGATGGATCTGCAGGATTGGGGTGGATCTTCAAAGATCATAACAATCGGGTTATTGCTGAAGGTTTAGCTGCTCTCCAGCACGTCGGTTCACCGTTAATGGCCGAAGCCCTCGCAACTCTCTCTGCGGTCAGAGTTGCAATGGAATCGGATTCATCTAACTTCTTCTTCGCTTCAAACTCGATCACTCTTGTCAAAGCTCTCAATTTGGATCTCCACGGGATTTTCCACGATATCCTGTCTCTATCTTCCCAATTTGATGTTTGCTCTTTTAATTTCATTCCTCGAGCTCTCAATTGTCAGGCTGATGCTCTGGCCAAAGAGGCTCTGTTATTCTGTATTGAACCCTAATTAGTCTAATTAGGATCGAACCCGCGGCCCACCTCCGAGAATATTGGTTTACATACGTTGATTTTAATAGTGCGTGTTTTAAGTAGAGCGAATCGGATAGTGTACTTATAAATATTCATAATAACGAATTGCAGAGAAAATGTTAAATTGTTTATAATTAAACTGATCATATTAATTATGATTAAAAAAATAGAATTTTATGTTTTAGAATTATTAGATGATTCATAGGGATTAGAGCAGTAAAAATAGGTCAAAAACCGTGGGTCGAGCCCAAATCATCTCACTATGGGGCATATTTGTAAAAATATATTAAATCCGTAAATAAACGGACCACACAGATTGATTCGCAGTGGATCATAGGTTTTAATCGGTTTTCGTCTGCGGGTTGGCGGATCAGCCCGCATGTTAGTATTTATTGATAAAAGTATAATTTATTCAACATTTGGTAATTTAAAAAACTTTTAATAAATGAAATTATAATATTTATAAATATAATGAGATATAAAATTATTTCCTCTAATTTTTTTTATTTATTTATTTTAGTAGTATTTTAAATTTTCGTTACTTTAAAATTATTTAAACAAAATCCACGGATAACTCCGCAAATCAGCATATATTCGCAGGACGGATTTGTGTTTCATATATGCTATCTGCGGGTCGTGTGGACCAACTAACTATATGTCAAAATATATTTTGCCTATCACAAAACGGGCTTAACGGGACGAATCAATTCGCTTTGACAGCTCTAGTGAGAATATTATTTAGTCATACAACAAAATAGAGTTTGGACATAGGAATAATAGAATCTATATCTTATTTCTTAGATGAGAGATTGAAACTTTGAAAGGTGAAATATAACGATTAAAAATTAATTATTATTTTTCATGATTCACAAAATTTAATAAATATTTATCATCTTGTTGAAGAATTCTAAAAATCATATTCAAGAAATCTTTATAATTTTAAAATTAAACTTCTTTGGTAAGCTATAAGTATGAAAATACCATAATTTCGTTTAATTTAATTAAATTAAAATTAGTTACATGGATTTCATATCTATTTAATTTACACGACCAAAATAAAAATATCTATTTAATTTATAAAATAGATGGGTTAGTTGTGATAAATTTTCTAGAAATCTTTTGAAGCAAGTAAGATATCTTTCAATTAATGCTAATTGGCTAAAATAAGCAAAATTAATGACAAAAACGTTGATTGTTATGGAATTAGTTCCAAAAATATATGAACAAATATATTATACGTAATTAATATATAGTATTGTTCGGAATATGCTTTTATAATTAGTTACCATAAATACAATCATATTTTATTTGATTTCAATAAATATTTTATTTTAGTTAGATTTTTCATTATAAAATATTAATTAGAAATTATATTCCAAAAAAATTCAAATATCCGATTTCAGAATTTTGGGTTAATTTTCTGATTTTGACCCGATCCATTTGCATTTGTACTTCTCTTTTAATAGTATATAGATTAATGCATTAGCAATTGATCCAAAAAAAAAAAAAAGATTACTTTTACGTGTTTCTATCCTATCTTTATTTTGAAGACAGAAAAGAAAAGAGAATAATGATTGTTTTACAAAACATTGAAACAAAATAAAAAAAATTAACTAATCAAATGATAGTGGACTAGTGGTTCCCATTTGTAGAGAAATTATTTTGTAGGTCTAGTCCATAGATTAAATCTCCTCAAACGTATAATTTATTTAACCACTCCCATTTGGTGAGTCGAATTAATGTTAAGCTTTACACTGATTATAAAATTCAGTGAATGGATTACTCGTCTGCTATATTCATCCGAAAGAATTAGTTTAGTGGTAAAAACTTGGATCATCGCCAACTTATTCAAAAAATAAATAATATCAATTATAAATAAATTAAAAAATTAATTAAAATTTATAAGCTATTTTTACTTAACTTAAAGTCTCTATTACCGACCGATTGGGCTTAACAGTAGGTTCTTAGTAAAAATCAAAACCCCTAATTAAATTGAATTTTTGGCCATTGCATTTAATAGAGAGGATTGATATGGCTAATCTTCTAATCTTGTTTGCTTTTCTCAGAAGGTGGATTCTTGTCTTATATAGCATTGACCAAAAAAAACATTGTACAAGAATTTGGGAGAGCTTGGATGCACAGAGTCTTTCTCTAACGGTACCTTCACACGGTAATGTGAAGATCGCTAATTACTCCATTTGGAATGAGCAAGTTTAAAGTTTTTGAGTTTCTTGTTTACTTGGAACAATTGTTTTTGTGTTGAAGTAGAATGAATATGGATTTGGTCAATCCTTTTGTTCTCTGTAAATCAATTGAAAAGATGGGTGATGGAAGTAGATTTTCAATCGTTGGCAAGAGAGGTGCTACTTCTTTGTAGGTTTCTTGTCCATTTTGTTTTTGCGCTTTATGTTTATTAGACCCTATATTTCTCTTCATGTATGCAATCAAACAATACGGTAAACCTTTAACCATAGGTCTAACATCGTGTTCATTTATCACCATGCTCGTCAATCTAAAGATATGAGTTCTGCCACACTAGAAAAGGGACTTTCGAAGTTGATGCATTGAAGAGTAGATTTGCTGGCTTGATGACTCAGGCATGTCTATAAGCTTGTGAAATTCAGTTTGATTGGCAATTGATTTTTTTTTTTTTTTTTTTTTAAAAACCTCAACTTAAAATTCTATCATTGCACACACAAAAAATTTAAAACCATTACACAACCTCTCAACTATAAATTTTTCAAAATTAATATTAAAACAATTCATAAGAACAAAACTAAGAGACCACCAATAATGTCAGAACTTTATTGGGTTCAATTACACTCAGTCTTTTTTTTCTAAATTTGACTAGTATGAGCTAATGTAAATTAATGTGGCCATATTTAGATTAAAGCAAAAAAATTATAAGCCTTTAGCCCTTAAGTCTTTCTTTCTCCTCATTTTTCTTTTTAGAGACTTTTATTCAAAATCTCAGTATAAATGGGCCTGTATTGGGCTACACTAAATCTTAAGAAATCAGGCCCAGACTTGGCCACAGCCTCTTCTCCATCTGATTCTGAGCATATTGCTGCTCAGATTAACAGGTTAGCTGATTTTAAGACAAGATCTTTGTTTTCTGAATTAAAAATTGCAACTTGAAGTTTGTACCAATAGCAAGATGATTGATTTGGTTACCTCATAGTTTTGTTTTAATGGAAGCAGTTCGTTTAACAACTTTATCTAATTTTCATCTACTGAATATTTTAGTCCTGCGTTCTCTCAAGCCTCTGCGTCGTCTATCTTTCTCTGTCTCTGCCTCAGGTTCGATGTCTTTTATTGCTCATTCATGTTTGAAACTGATTCAATTGATAATCTTTTGGCAATTTTTTTTGTTTTGTTTGATTTAGCAATGGAGAGTGATGCTTCTTGTAACTTGGTTTTGTATGGGAAGTCCTCTGTGGAAACTGAGATAGCAAAGTGTTTGAAGAACAAGAACTCACTTACACTCCCGGATAATACCAAAGTTTCACTCTTTTTAGAATCTGAGGCTAAGAATTTGGTTAAAGATGATGGTTCTTTCAATCTTTCACTCTTTATGAACTCGATTATAACTCATCGGTTTGGGCGGTTTCTCATTTGGTCTCCGCGCTTGTCTTCCACTCACGATGTTGTTTCTCAGTAAGCAATCCATCTCTTTGGTTTCCTCTTTTAAGGTTGGTAACGTTTTGTGTGTTAAAGATCTGTTTTTTAGTTTCTTTCAGAAATTTCTCTGAGCTTCCAGTTGGTTCAGTTTGTGTCACAGATATCCAGTTTAAAGGTCGAGGTAAGAGTTCTTTTGGATTTGATAGTATAGTAAGCAAGTAGAATTTAGATTTGAGAGTTGAAACTGTGTGTGTAATTGATGAATATGCAGGTAGAACAAAGAATGTATGGGAATCACCAAAGGGTTGTCTTATGTATTCTTTTACTCTAGAAATGGAAGATGGTCGAGTCGTGCCTTTGATACAGTATGTGGTGTCTCTTGCTGTAACTGAGGCAGTGAAAGATGTTTGTGACAAGAAGGTATGTTCTTGAAAAGAACCTTTTGTTGTGTTGTGTTGTTGATCCATTGCATCAGAAATTAGCTAATTTATTTGATGTTCATCAATTTCAGGGTTTGCCATACATTGATGTTAAAATTAAGTGGCCAAATGATCTCTACTTGAATGGTCTTAAGGTTGGAGGCATTTTGTGTACCTCTACGTATAGATCAAAGAAGTTCCATGTCAGTGTTGGTAATAAGCATTACTCTTTACAAGTTTATGACTGCTCGTAGTCTTGTTGCTTTGACTTGTTCTACCTTTTGTTTTAGGAGAAAATGACAAAACTGAACCTTCTTGCAGGTGTGGGGTTGAATGTGGACAACGAGCAACCGACGACGTGCTTAAATGCAGTACTAAAAGGCATGTCTCCTGAATCAACCCTTCTTAAAAGAGAGGAAATCCTTGGTGCCTTCTTTCATAAATTTGAAAAATTCTTTGATCTATTCATGGACCAAGGTAATGTAAACCTCTGCTCCCGGAGACTGTTTTGTTTGTTACTTTTGAAGTATCTTGTTGATTTAATTATTTAGATGAGATGAGAGTAAGAGAAATGGTAATCTTATTATCTAGTTTTGATCCCATATAATCAGTCTCTCTCATCCCATTGCACTTTACAGGTTTTAAATCTCTGGAGGAGCTTTACTACAGAACATGGTTACACAGGTGAAGGTTATGTCTTTGATTGCATTTTATATCATTGAAAAGGTTTCTGTTATTTAAATTTGAACTGGTTTTATTTTTATGCCTATCCCATTGTAATTATAACATGTTGACTTGGCGAAAATGATCTTATATTTATTTAATGTTTACAATGGTATTTTCTTGCTATAAACTAACATCTATTAAGTTAAGAAGAAGACTCTGTTTCTTGCGAATTACTAATGTAGCTTTTTTTTTATTGACTCGTGGCTGTATCAAAATTTCTTAATACATTTATATTGAGGTTTAAGGATACAAACTTTACCATTTAATTACAAATTTGCAGTGAGCAAAGAGTGACTGTTGAAGAAAAAGTAGAGGACCAAGTTGTTCAAAATGTTGTGACTATCCAGGTAGGATTCTTTTTTTTATTTTCCTTGGTTATATACAAGGTGCATCATCCTGATGCAAATGCACCATATACTGTCCTATTTGGTATTTGCATTCTGATGCAAAACCAATTCATTGAAAAAATCTAGATATTGAATAAATCTATGCTACAATTGCGGGATCCGGTGATTGTAATATGGTGCTTTGATCTTCTTTTGCTTCTCCTTTAAAATTTGCAGGGTTTGGCATCTTCAGGATATTTACTGGCTATTGGAGATGACAATCAAATGTATGAGCTTCACCCTGATGGCAACAGGTAATTCTTTTTTTTTTTTTTATGAGTTAAATCGATTTAACATTACATTACATTGTTAATTCTAATACAAAGTGTTATTTTTCAATTACAGTTTTGACTTTTTCAAAGGTCTGGTTCGAAGAAAAATATGATCCAAAGATTTTCTTGCTGGTGGAAGTAGATGCTGTGTGTTTAGTACCATGGCCACAACTAATATCAGTTTCGATCTTCTAAAATAAACGAGATTGTTTTTTTTTTTTTTTCATGTAGTGTGGATATTGCCCAAATAATCTCTTTACTCTCTCTATTAATAAAGTTGCAGTATTTTTTCTTTTACTACTGGTGTTTATGTTTCTGATAGGCATTTTTGAATGTATCATCAAACATGAAATACATATTGGACCAGTAATAATTTTTGACCTTTTGATTCTGGTCATTTTTACCCGATCATTAGTTATTGAAATTGTGAAACACGAGAGGTTTAGGCACTAAGAAGTACAATGAGATTGAGAGATGCAACATCTTGACATAGCATCAGTACTTTGTTGCATAATCACTCTAAAAGCAACAAATACTATAGTCAAAAAGAGAGTTTATTTACAATAACGATCAGCTTTCTTCTTGACGCGATCGTCAAGAGCATCTTCCATGGATTCGAAATTCGATTTCGGAATGTAACCGAATTTCTTCGCCTCCACAGGAAATAGGTCATCGTACTTCTTCTTCTTCGCCGCATCAATTGAGTAAATATCATCATCTACAACGGCAGCGGCGGAAGAGGCTGAGCCGTCGGGAGCCATCTTCACTTCTCCGTCGAGCTTTTCTTTCTTCTTCTTCAGCTTCTTCTTATTCTTCTTTTCGATCGATTTCCTTGTGGCTAGATCTCCTCCTTTGAACGCCAATCTTCCACCATTCACTCTCTCGTAAGGATCTGACATTGCTTTGCTTTACTTTGATTAGGGTTTTCCAAATCTCTCGCTTTTGGGAATTTTTCTCTACTTGTAATAACAAAACGACAAAAAGGAGACATGGGCCATCGTTCTCTTATTGGGCCGAAAAGGATTTACCTCTTACTACCTTTTTTTTTTTTTCCGAAATGAATAAGGTATGACTATGGTGCTTTTGTTTTTATAACTTAGAATTATTTGAAACTAATAGATAAAACAATGAATAATTAGGTATAACTATGCTGCTTTTCCAACTTAGAAATTTTTGAAACTAAAAGGTGCAACTTTGTATAATTTGGTTCAACTTGATCTTGATTGCATGATTCTAATGGGGAAACCGAAGCTCTACAACTTCTTAACATGTACTTCAGTCTGAGTGAGTATATAAAGCCATTCAAGATTTTAGCAAAGTGCTATATTCATAAGGAAGTGGGATTATTGGAGACTCATCTTAAAGGCAAGGAGTTGAAATGGTTCAGGGAACACCCACAGTTCCGCCACTTCTTCCACATGCATAGGGACACAAAGAATTTGCCCTCATGTCAGGATTATATTGTCATCAATTTTCGAATTCCTATGAAACCAAGCGCATTACCGAGTTTGTTGGCAATATATTTGGACCCAGAGAAACAATAAAATATCAAAATGTAGAGGAAAAAGTTACTATCAATGAAGAAACCTTTTGATGATCGTTTGAGAATAGCTGTGCTCTACTTCTTAAGCAGCATCATCGTTGGAAAGGCTAAGACAGAAGATAAGGCACCAAATGTGGAGAAGTTTTTCCTTAGGACCGTGGCTGATCTAGAGTTGTGCAAAACATTCCCGTGGGGGAGATATGCATTTGATGAACATCTGAAAGACATCTTCTATTTGTTGGACAAATGTGAAGGAGTTGTTGGTTCACAAAAAGTGTTTCTTAGTTTCGTTATGTCTCTAGAGGTATGTATTATTTTAGGGCTGGAAAAAATAACGAACTGAAATTTCCGAACCGAACCGAGATTTTCGGTTTTCGGTTCGGTTTCGGTTAAGAGAAGATAACCGATCGGATGGAATTATATTACGCAATCGGTTCGGTTCGGTTCGGTTCATCCTAACCGACGGTTACCCGAATTTAACCGAACTACCCATATTACACAAAATTAACCGAACTACCCGACCCGATTTAACCAAAATTAACCGAACTAACCGACCCAATTTAACCAAAATTAACCGTGTTACCCTTATTTATCCGAATTAACCACGATAATTGACCCGATTTAACTGAATTAACCAAACTTAACCAAATATCTAAAATATTCAGTTAATTTCGGTAACAAAAAAATACCCAAAAAACCCGATACCCGAACCGAACCGAACCGAACCGTTTATTAATTCGGTTATTTTCGGTACCATTACTCAAATTCCAAACTACCCGAATAACCGAATTATCCGACCCGACCCGAAGTCGCAGGCCTATATTATTTCATTATTCATCTCTTAATTTTTTATGAAAGTTAACTAGGTACAACTAAGTATATATTAGTAGTTATACAACTTAGTTTTGAATGATCTTGGATTTTTTGCATTCAATTCTAGTTCTCAAGAACAATTTTTGCGTTGATGTTCAATCCGCAGATCCTAAGTGTCCTCGGATGTGCAAGATGAAGATTAAACCAAGTCCTATTAAAGGTTTTCCTATGTCATGTGTGTATGACAAACTCGGTACAACTAAGGTTAGTGAAAATCTGAAATACAAATTAGATAACATGTTTATTATTTCTGTATCATGGAGGTTGTATTAATTGGATTTCTTTATGATGCACGAGAGATTCAGAGTATCTTGATTCCATCTCCTGATAAGAAACTACTTTTGGAAAGAAGTATGGATGTTGAGCGTGGATGGAATGATGTTGATGATGTAATTGCTTATGTTGGAACAAGCGTCTAGTTGATGAGGAAAAGAGTATAAGTTTTGAAGAGAAATTCAATGAAGATGTAGACAACCGAGCATTTGAGAAAACTGTAATTATGCCTCCGAGAAAAGGCCGTGGGGAAAGAAAGGCAAAGAGAAAGTGGATCCGAATGATGCAAGTAATGATGGATTGGCTGAACTTGTGTACTAGTTTAAGACAATGTCGGAGAATGGATTTAATGATATGCATGAGAAGATGCTGGATCTCAGTAAGAAGTATGAATACCAAGATACAAGACTCAAAACTATGGAAGCAACAATCCAATCAATCCAAGTAACATCTATTACACCAATTCAGGACTACCAGGTATAACGATTTTCAGAATTTCGAAAAATCACTGCCAAGTAACATCTTTTTCACCATCAGCTACTACAAACACTAAAGGATAATGGTGATGATTCGGATCTTGAGATGTGGTAAAAATTAGCACACCGTGATGTACAGTCTTCAAAAATGTTGCATCCACGATGATCACTTTCCTCATGACTTCAAACCCTTCAATGGCAAGCCCAAAGCGACAAATAGGTACTTGAACCTTTTTTCTTCATCTAATACCACACTAGTTTTTGAATCAGTATTCACTTTTTCTAACATATACAAATAAGAAAGAATCATCTTAAAACTCTCGACTGGACTGCCACGAATATCGCTAATAGCTAGTTTTTTTCCTCCATAAGTAGTCGAGTATGACACTATTGTACCAAGTTTTTCCTGAACAATACCAATGAGACTTTTAGGATTTGGGATCTTGTATTGACCTGGATAATCGTCATGCAATACGGATGCAACTAAACATGGTGTGTCTTTCTTTTTGATGCATGTAGTAGTACTCGACCGAGAGCATATATGCATCTTTCTATATGTCCGAACAAGAATCAAGTTGAATCCGTAATCCTTATAGCTCATACATACCATTTACAATCTTCTTCACCACATCTTACCACATACCGCTTCGTATCCGAGTTGAGTGTAAACAGTCTAAATAAATTCAGATTTGCTCCTATCTAAACTAAATTTTTGCACTTCATGCTTGCTTTCAAATTTTAGACATATTACTAGATCAAGACCATCTTCCCATGGATCTTTAAACTTAGCTACTTGGCTAGCACGTGGATTCTCAACATATTCACGAATACCATCATTCTCCATACTCATATCCATAGTGTTATCAACACCATTTTTCACATCTTTGATAACAACATTTTCTAGTGGCTCCAAAGGCTCAGAAAATTGTTTTGCTAGTGGCTCGTATGCGTAAAGAGTTACGATATCAACATTAGCTCTATCATTATCTATAACATCGGAAGTCCGCTCAACAAAATTCACACCAACTGAACTTCTTCTCTGTACTCTCAACTCTTGCTCGTTTAAAAGAACAATTTCCAACTCAGTACCAACTTTTACATGCAAGACACTTCTACTTTTCTCTTTATCCAACGTGGTTAGATAAACATATACATCATCATCATTCCAAATATATGAATATGTAGGAGGTTGAACTTCCGATGAAATGTAACTCAATTACACCTTTGTCGTAAATTCATCTATCCTAATCTTCATGCATATCTTATCTACAAACCGCGAATAAGTTATCTCCTCCATTGAATATGTTCTAAACGATAGACTATAGAACCCAGCTACCCTTGGATTCTATTGATATGCATCTCCTGTTTTTTGGAATAATATCCATCATAATCAAAATGTATGTTTATTGGAAGGTTGGTCATTCTCCTGAAAAAAAAATATATTAGCAGTTTTACCACTTCTAACAGTTATCTCAGAAATACAAGATATATTACTTCAAACAGTTATACCACGTTTCTCAATTATACCCAGGTTTTCTCAAAAATACCAGATATACTACTTCAAACAGATATACCACATTTCTCAGTTATACCCAGGTTTTCATATTATACTCTATTTAAAAATCGATTCTCGGACCAAAAACATTTATCTACCTACGATTAACAATAAATTAACCAATACAGTCCATTAAGGTGTGTTAATCGATCGAGAATACATAGTTACCAACACAATGTCCATTAATTTCTAACACCAATTTTAAACCCAATCAAATCTAATTGAAATCTCCAAATTTCAAATACAATACCAAAATAAACTAAAGACTCGATGTTAGAAGTGAAAGAAGATAATAGAAACTGACCTAGAGATTAAAGCTTCACTTTCAATGGTCGAAGAACGACGACGAGGTGAAGACGACGACATCGTGGTGATTTTGGATTTTGGATTCGATTTGTCCCGATGAATTGATGAGCTCGTTTGTGATTGGTCGGAAATCTCTTTGATTTGATTGGTCAATTATTTTTTTTAATCCTCAACAAATCAAACATTGGTTTGGTACATCGGTCCGTTTGGTAAGGGCAAACATTGGTTTTGAACTTTCAATAAGAGTATAAGAGTATGTGAGAATTTTGGAGAGTATATAGATTGGGAGGTCATGCTTGAGGAGCTCCTCGTATTAGGACCCTGAAAAAAACTCCGTCAGCAGGAGGATTCAGCTACTCTCTCTTGTCTAAAAGATTTTCAACTATTGAGTATATATAGAGGGTCTTAATCTGAGGATCTCCTCAAGCATGACCTCCCAATCTATCTTCTCTCCAAAATTCTCACATACTCCTATACTCTTAATGAAAGTTCAAAACCCATGTTTTCCCTTATCAAGCAGACCGATGTACCAAACCAATGTTTGGTTTGTTGAGGATAAAAAAATAATAATTAACCAATCAAAACAGAGAGATTTCTGACCAATCACAATCGAGCTCATCTATTTATCGAGACAAATCCAATCCAAAATCCAAAATCACCATGCCGTCGTCGTCTTCACCTCGTCGTCGTTCTTCCACCATTGAAAGTGAAGCTTTAATCTCTAGGCCAGTTCCTATTCTCTTCTTCCACTTCTAACATCGAATCTTTAGTTTATTTTGGTATTTTATTTGAAATTTGGAGATTTCAATTAGATTTGATAGGGTTTGAAATTGATGTTGGAAATTAATGGACATTGTGTTGGTAACTATGTATTTTGGGTTGATTAAGATACTTTAATGGACTGTAGTGGTTGATTCATTGTTAATCGTAGGTAGATTAGTGTTTTTGGTCCGAGAATCGATTTGCAAATAGATAAGAACATGAAAACCTGAGTATAACTGAGAAACGTGGTATATCTGTTTGAAGTAGTATATCTGGTATTTTTGAGAAAACCTGGGTATAACTGAGAAACGTGGTATATCTGTTTGAAGTAGTATATCTGGTATTTTTGAGAAAATATGGGTATAACTGAGAAACGTGGTATAACTATTTGAAGTAGTATATCTGATATTTTTGAGATAACTGTTAGAAGTGGTATAACTAGTATTATTGGTATAACTCGTAATGTATATTTTTTTTCAAGAGAATAAGCAACCTTCCAATAAACATACATTTTGATTATGATGGATATTACTCCAAAACCAGAGATGCATATCGATGGAATCAAAGAGTAGCTGGGTTGTACGGTCTATCGTTTAGGACATCATCAATGGAGGAGATAGCTAATTCGTGGTTAGTAGATAAGATATGCATGAAGATTAGGATATATGAATCTACGACAAAGGTGAAATTGAGTTACATTCCATCGGGAGTTCAACCTCCTACATATTCATAAATTTGGGAATGATGGTGATGTATATGTTTATCTAACCACGTTGGATAAAGAGAAAAGTAGAAGTGTCTTGCATGTAGAAGTCGGTAATGAGTTGGAAATAGTTCTGTTAAACGAGCAAGAGTCGAGAGTACAGAGAAAAAGTTCAGTTGGTGTGAATTTTGTTGAGCAGATTTTCGATGGTATAGATAATGATAGAGCTAATGTTGATGTCGTAACTCTTTATGTAGACGAGCCACTAGCAGAACAACTTTCTGAGCCTTTGGAGCCACTAGAAAATATTGTTATCAAAGATGTGAAAAATGGTGTTGATAACACTATGGATATGAGTATGGAAAATGATGGTATTCGTGAATATGTTGAGAATCCACGTGCTAGCCAAGTAGCTAAGTTTAAAGATTCATGGGAAGATGGTCTTGATCTAGTAATAGGTCAAGAATTTGAAAGCAAGTATGAAGTACAATATTTAGTTGAGACATGAGCAAATCTGAATTTATTTAGACTATTCACACTCAACTCGGATACGAAGCAGTATGTGGTAAGATGTGGTGAAGAAGGTTGTAAATGGTATGTATGAGCTATAAGGGTTACGAATTCATTTTGATTCTTGTTTGGACATATAGGAAGATGCATATATGCTCTCGGTCGAGTACTGCTACATGCATCAAAAAGAAAGACATACCACATTTAGTTGCATCCGTATTGCATGACGATTATCCAGGTCAATACAAGACCCCAACTCCCAAAAGTCTCATTGGTCTTGTTCAAGAAAAACTTGGTACAACAGTGTCATACTCGACTACTTATAGAGGAAAAAAACTAGCTGTTAGCGATATTCGTGGCAGTCCAGCCAAGAGTTTCAAGATGATTCGTTCTTATTTGTATATGTTAGAGAAGGTGAATCCTGATTCAAAAACTAGTGTGGTATTTGATGGAAAAAATGGTTCAAGTACCTATTTGTCCCTTTGGGCTTGCCATTGAAGGGTTTAAAGTCATGAAGAAAGTGATCATCGTGGATGCAATATTTCCGAAGACTGTACATGAAGCTGTCCTAATTTTTGCCACAGCTCAAAATCCGAATCATCACCATTATCCCTTAGCGTTTGCAGTAGCTGATGTTGAAAAAGATGTTACTTGGAAGTGGTTTTTCGAAACTCTGAAAACCGTTATACCGGATAGTAATGAATTGGTGAAAAAGATGTTACTTGGATTGATTGGATTGTTGCTTCCATAGTTTTGAGTCTTGTATCTTGGTATTCATACTTCTTACTGAGATCCAGCATCTTCTCATGCATATCATTAAATCCATTCTCCGACATTGTCTACAACTGGTACACAAGCTCAGCCAATCCATCATTACTTACATAATTCGGAGCTACTTTCTCTTTGCCTTTCTTTCCCCACGACTTTTTCTCGGAGACATAATTACAGTTTCCTCAAATGCTCGGTTCCCTACATCTTCATTGAATTTCTCTTCAAAACTTATACTCTTTTCCTCATCAACTAGACGCTTGTTCCAACATCAGCAATTACATCATCAACATCATTCCATCCACGCTCAACATCCATAATTCTTTCCAAAAGTAGTTTCTCATCAGGAGATGGAATCAAGATACTCTGAATCTCTGGTGCATCATAAAGAAATCCAATTAATACAACTTCCATGATACAAAAATAATAAACATGTTATCTAATTTGTATTTCAGATTTTCACTAACCTTAGTTATACCGAATTTGTCATACACATCTGACATAGGAAATCCTTTCATAGGACTTGGTTTAATCTTCATCTTGTACATCCGAGGACACTTAGGATCTCCGGATTGAACATTAGCACAAAAATTGTTCTTGAGAACTGGAATTGAATGCAAAAAATACAAGATCATACAAAACTAAGTTGTATAACTGCTAATATACACTTAGTTGTACTAAGTTTAACTTTCATAAAAACTTAAGAGATGAATAATGAAATAGTACATACCTCCAGAGGCATACCGAAACTAGGACACACTTTTTGTAGACCAACAACTCCTTCACATTTGTCCAACAAATAGAAGATGTATTTCAGATTTTTATCAAATGCATATCTCCCCTACGGGAATGTTTTGCACAATTCTAGATCAGCCACGACCCTAAGGAAAAACTTCTCCACATTTGGTGCCTTATCTCATGTCTTAGCCTTTCCAACAATGATGCTGCTTAAGAAGTAGAGCACAACTATTCTCAGACGATCATCATAAGGTTTCTCCATTGATAGTAACTTTTCCTTCACATCTTGATATTTTATTGTTGCTCTGGGTCCAAATATCTTGCCAACAAACTCGGTACTGCCCTTGGTTTAATAGGAATTCAGAAATTGATGACAATATAATCCTAACATGAGTGCAAATTCTTTGAGAGAATAGCGGATCGGAACCCCATTAGCGATAAACCAAACTTCCCTCTTCTTCTCTAAACATGTTGTGCGAAGAAATAACAGCCACATACCCATCAACTTATGATTTGCGTCCATGTGCATGTGAAAGAAGTGTCGAAACTGTGGGTGTTCCCTGAACCATTTCAACTCCTTGCCTTTAAGATGAGTCTCCAATAATCCCACTGCCTTATGAATATAGATAGCACTTTGCTAAAATCTTGAATGGCTTGGTATACTCACTCGGACTGAAGTACATTTTAAGTGGTTGTAAAGCTTCGATTTTCTCATTAGAATCTTGCAATCAAGATCAAGTTGAACCAAATTATACAGAGTTGTACCTTTTAGTTTCAAAAATCTCTAAGTTAGAAAAGCAGTATAGTTATACCTAGTTATTCTTTGTTTTACCTTTAAGTTTCAGATATTTTTAAGTTATAAAAGCAAAAGCAGCATAGTTATACCAAGTTATTCATAGTTGTACCTTTCAGTTTCAGATATTTCCAAGTTATAAAAGCACGTTAGTTATACCTAGTTATTCATAGTTTTACCTTTTAGTTTCAGAAATTATATGTTAGAAAAGCAGCATAGTTATAATTAGTTATTCATAGTTTTACCTTTTAGTTTCAGAAATTTCTAAGTTACAAAAGCAACAAACTTATACCTAGTTATTCATAGTTTTACCTTTTAGTTTCAAAAATTTCTAAGTTACAAAAGCAACAAGGTTATACCAAATTCTGCTAGGTGTCCAAATTTTAGAGTTCTTACTGTTGAAACCCCGTTAGAGATTGAATCTGTTGATTCAGATTCCACTCCCGCCGGCGTTGGTACTTCTTCAAGATTGGCTTATGGAGTTAAAGGTACACTTGCGTTCTTTGTTCGAGGCATTGCACAAACCTATAAACAAAATCATTTAGATTAGCACTTTCATTCAATATTTCAATCGATTCTATTGCAAAAACCTACAAACAAAATCAATTAGATTAGCACTTCCATTCAATATTTCAATCGATTCTATTACCACTAACATTCCCATCTCTTCGGATTCTACTCAAATATTACCAACAATCGATTTCAATCACATAGTTACTCGCGGACTTTCTGTCGATTTCAATCGCAAAACTCAAAATAAAAACTCAATTTTATCTTACCCAATAACGTAGTTGTCTGTAGTTATACCAGGATCGACTCTGAAGAAAAAGAAGAAAAACGAAAGGGATGAACCAAATGTCGCCGTCAAAAGATTTTTCTCCAAAGGAATGAACCGGATCTATTCAACCCTAGAGAAAGTGTTTTAATTAGATTCGACCCAATAAAAAGAGGTTCGAGTATTTTATGATCCGATTAGCTTAGTTGGATCGTGAATATTTGATATTTTGAAGGGTTAAGAGGTCTTTGCCTCCTTTTTCTATTTTCAAAAAATCAAAATTAAATTCAATTTTATAAAATGAGCATTTGAGAAAATTTTCGGAGCTTGAGTGGTGTTGGCTAGCTCTCGTCCGGCATCGATCGACTTTCATAGGCGATGGCCGGCTTCGCTATTGGCGCTCCTTTGCCGCGTGTTATCCGATTCCTTGCCGTTTGCTTCTTTCTGTTTATTGTTTTTGTTTCCGGTGCGGTTTCTCCTGTGGCTTGCTCTGTTGGATCTGCCGCTTCGTCTTTGTCATAAACTCAAGACGGCCCATGGTTTCGATTATGCCTTTGTTTGGTGATTATAGCTTCTTTTCCTATGCTGATGTTAATTGCCTTTTCGTCGCTGTTCCTTGGTATTCAGAGCTTCAATATGCTAGACAATCAGTTATGGACTCTTCAATTTAATCGATTTCTCTTTACCCGAGTTCGCCAGAATTTCTAGCAACCGGTTGAAATTGGTTGATTGATGGTTGTCCCTATTACCCGGTGAGCAAACAAAGTTTCGTTGTTAGGATTGGTTTTCCGGCGACGATCAATTCACCGTAGTTGGGCTCTTGTGCGACGGAGGTTAGTGGAACAACACGTGTCCACTTACTCATCTGTATCGTTAGACACGTCCTTTGAAGCATATCTTCTTCTTTGGTATTTTGCTTGGGCTTCTTTGTAAGCTTTTGTTGTTGTAATTGGGCTGCCTTGTTGGGCTTGTAAAATTTTATCAATAAAACTCAGTTGAGAGAAAAATAAATAAATATATACTCTGTAAAAAAGATTAAACGTTTCCTGTAAAAAAAAATTGATTTTTCTTGTCAAACAGTCAAACAGAAAACTATACAGTGACAATGCATATTCTATTTTTATGATATGCCAAAGAAAAAATAGATCAACAATTACAGTCTTTCTTTGATTAATCTTTGTTTTGAGTTGTTCTATATAATCTTCCCAAAAATTTATAACAATATATGATTTTAACTATGAAAACCCAACCGCAAAAAAGCCGCAAGAAATCAACCTCATTCTTTCAATAGTAAATATGCCGACCATATAATTTTTTGCAAGTGTAAATCTGCATTTTCTCCATTTTGCGACAACACAAAACCCATAATCTCATAAGTGAGAATCATCAGTTAATGATCTTCATGTGAGAGACTGGACAAATTTTACACCAGGTTCTTTTAAACAATCTGCTCCCAAAGTTTCAAGCAAAAACCTCATAAGGCAGCGGAGAACAAATACGAGGCAAGACTAATCGCTAAGCTGCCAAAAATAAGATGTTTACCTCAAGTTTTTATGTTGGCTTCTATTGTCATGGAGATTAGAGGGCTTTACATGTATTGAGCTAGCCATTGCTTGCACATATCGAGTACTGTGTGCGAATTGGCATGTAAGGCTTGATGAGCTACATATTGAACATCAGCCACGCTTCCGCTTTTAGATGCAATCTGGAATGCACTTTTCAGGCGGCCACATACCACACAAGCCAGCACCTTTCTGCACTCGTTTACAATCAGACATGTATCAGCCTAACGATCCCGCATAATTGTACAATGCGATTCAATTTATTACATACATGATCATATCTCTGAAACAGAGTGAATTTGTAAATAAAAGAAACCAAAATTAATGGTTTATTTTAGTGACTCCATGAGATAATGATTATTAAACGAGTGATACTCTTTTCAATGGGATAGAACATAGTGGAAGTAACAAAACAATTATAACAGTAAAATATCTTACCGATGGCTGCTTGTTAACATGTCAATGAGACGGTCAGGGCGCTCTTTGTGCTTGTTGGCATATACACTGATGGCAGCACCCAGGACCTGCAGCATTTAACAGAATATAAGCATTACCGAACGAGCTTTCCCTGTATCTAAAAGATTGCCTAATCGGAATGAAAATATAGAAAGGTACATCCAACCGAACACCCATATTTACCACCAGCTTCAACAGATTGAAAAGGAAGTATGGAGCTTAAAAACTTTTCCTTTTGGCCAATAATTAAATTACATTTTAAAAACTTTTCCTTTTGGCCAATAATTAAATTACATTTTATGAAATTCCCAAAAAGAGTTTTATGTTGGACCCTAATAGTCTTGAACACCTGCAATGTTCAGTACCTGATCCCAGTCATCATCCTGGATTGTTCCTTTAATGTTTTTGAAAAGTTCTGTCAACTGACTGCCCTTCTTCCTATTGGCTAGTGACGTAGCAACACCAGCATATATATCAACAGCTGCTTAGAAGCAAGGGAAAAGTCAGATTCCATGCACAACAACATTACACAGATATTAACATAAAACAAACAGGCACCTGAGAGCTTGAATTCATATATAACTGAATAAGCTAAGTCGAAATTTTTCTCAACAAGAGTCTCCACTATTTCACATCTTCTCCTGAAAGTAAGAGCCAGGGAAAGAGATATCAGCTGAAGATTTTTCTTCTTTCACCAAAGCAAATATGATTATTAAGTTTGGTCTTTCATTTTCATTTGGAGTAGCACATCCGTCAAGGATTGCATTAAAACAGGTGTTCAATTTATCTGGACAAGGGAAAAGTATCCACATCATTCATTTGATAGGCATCATGACTATGTGAAGAGAAAGCTAGAATCGATTTAGAAATTCTAGGTAAGTGTCTCTTGGGGGGTCAAACAAAAGTGGAGTGGAATCATGAGGGCAGTGTGGAAAGGAATACAGGTCACTGCACTGTTACTAGCTCTTTGTCTTTCTCCTTTATTTCGTCTATAATCTACCGATACATATTCCTTAAACTTGCGTAAGGATATAAGAAATTTGTTTAAATAATAATGGGGGAACTAAGTTGTATTTTACAGCCAATCACTTTTTGAGGACAAACCTGGATGTCTCTATATCATTTGGATTTCCAAACAAGGAATGCTTCCATGGTGGTCCTTCAGAGTCACTGAAGGACTTCACCACATCAATCTATAGGAAAAACAAACCCACAAAGGTGGAGTTATAAATCTATAAAGCCCTACTTCATGAAACGGATGACATAAACGGTGTTCAGGGTTACCTGCATTTTCACCCGTGAGGACAACGTAACAAGAGTTTCTTCACTCAGCTTCTCCGCGGCACTTTTTCCTCTAACACCCTTTGTAACAATTTTTTTCGAGTCTGAACCTCTATGACGCGCCGTCAATGCTTCTTCAAAGTGCGCCTGTACCCAGAGGATAGTTAGAGACCAATATTCCAAAAACCAGAAAGAGAAAGACGCAACATAGACGTTATCATAGTTTTGTGCAGCACTGGCATGCTTATGATTGCAGGATGTAATATATAATTCATACAAGTAGTTATCACATAAGAATAAGATGATTTAACCTGTAAGCAACAAATACTCGTCTTAATGTAATCCATGCAGCTTTTAGAAAAGCTCTAGTTCAAATAATTGCATAATATTTAGCAAACGGGAAAAAAGAGAGCAAGGAAAAAGCGTCCCTGATCCAAATTTTTGTGCCACCAACTGCCACAAAGTCAACAAAGTCTTGCCTAATTGTTTCGATCGACCCAAAACAACTTTATAATGCTTAAATTTTACATTCCACACACACAAAAAATGCATTTGAAAAATCTGCAAATCAGCAAAACACATACTATGGATTCTATTAGTTGATAAGTGTTTTCAGATGGGCATTGCATGTAAATACATTGCAAGAAATCCATTTCAGACTAAACACAGAGATGGAATGGGTGGTGAGGAAAGAGCTACTGACTAGATACCTTTGCATGCTCAAGATGCTTTACAGCATCCTCCTGAGTTGTAGAATTCATAAAAAGCTGAATACAGCAATACCCAGAGGTGACATAATCCTTCTTGAGTACCTGAACAGTTAAAAGAGAAAAAAGAGTGAATTAGCATTACGATTCACAAGTATTCCAGAAAAAAAGTTAGGCTCCCAGGATGTAGCACACAGTTTTACGAGCCACTTGGCTGTCTTTCCAGAAGTAGAAAAAATACACTAATAGACCATGATCGACAACACATGATCACAAAAATGTTTTGTTGCATCAGAGTTAAAATTTATACCAATACCATAAATACACAGCCTTATTCATAAAAGTCATACTAGAAACCTCCTAAACTACAGGATCTGCAGTTTTAAGGATGCACTAAGAGCTAATTTCAAGCTTAGGATCAGGGTTTATGGTTCAGATTGCAGGAGAGGAGGTGCAAAGCAGAGAGAATAAGACTAGCTGAGAATTTTTGTATAAGATGCACAGTTGTGTAATCTTATATTTGCAGTGATTATCTGTCTACATGACTATATAACTGTACAGCAGAACCTATGCGCATGCAGCACACGAAACAAAAATAATTTAGATCTAGTTACTTGTTAGTATAGCAAAAGGTGAAAAATTCAAAGTGGAAACAACCAAAATATAAGTTATAGTTAAAGAACCATGACAACGAAGATGATCTCACCAGAAAATTGTATAGATAATTGAAATGCCGGTTGATCTCAAAGTATGAACAGATACGAGTAAGAGCTCCAGCTATGTACTGATTTATGGCTTGATCTTGATGCTTTGCGGATTCAAGTCTTTCTGTAATTACTTCCTCAAGGGATGAGATAGCTCCATAACCGACACAAAACTCGCACAAACTTTCAATAGTCCCATATTCAGTTGCCAAGGGATCAGTTCGTTGAGGTGATGAAGATGTGCTTACTGCGCCCACAGACGAAGTTTGCAAAGGAGGGGGAAGAGCACTTTGCGGAAAGAATAACATGCATGCATCTTTATAGTGACCATGGCGGAACATAAACCCAAGCAGGTTTTGGCGAGCATGCTGCAGAATCAGAGAAACAAACTCAATGAACCAAAACAAAAGTAAAATGTAACCAGTGCAAATAATGCTAATTTCATAAAAACTCAGAAAGCACTCTTAAACATTGGGTCCGCCAAAGACATGTTCAAGAAAGATAAGTATATTCTGAGGTAATTCCAGAATGCACTAGAATATTATTGCCTTACTTCCTGCAAGTAGTTGGTGCACTCAGAATAGCGTGTAGTATCCAAGTTGCTTCGGGGGCCATCTTCAAAGTCTGAACCAGGTACAGAATTATTCTTTTCTGATTCCAGAGATCTCCTCGACCTCTCTGAACGAGGGAAAGTGGATGGCATATGCAGAACATTCAGGTATGAGTCTGCTGATAAAGAATCGTCCAAAATTGTTGGTGCGCTTTTCGCCAAATGGTCATACCTGACACATGTCAACAGTCCCAAGAATAAGATCAGATGGTGGATTACCAAAGCCTTTTAACTTTTTTCTTCGACTTACATCAATCATGATTGTATTTCTCAATTCTCACAAATTTTATAATTCCTTAGACCTTAGCTAATGAAGCTGCTAACATCTAATTCATCATCAACTGAAGTTTATATTGATCAAACACTTTCCTGTTCCTTGACTGGAGTAGCAAGACATTTTCACAAAATATATCTCTCCACTATGCCCATACTAGGATAACAGTTTTAGCTAAACAGAGACACTTACATGGAACGAACAATTGACACATCCACAGGCGGACCTCCTTCTATTGTATTGATTATCTCCTGAATGACATCAGGAATGTCTTCCCCTTTTAATTGAAAGGCTTGCCTATAGAGAAAAAAAAAAGAACTGTATTACAGCACGCAACCTGAGGTTGAAATATGCAAAAAGAGTGTTAAAATTCATGTGTTTTTCCGCAGCTTTTAAACTATTTTACATACTTGAATTTGACTCGAGCTTGAGCATGGCGCTCCATCCGTAACAAAGCAAGACCCCATGCTTTCCATACGGGGAAAACATCAATCTAAAATTAATCAAGTACACACGCAGAAGTTAATGCGAATTTTCGATGAAGTGGCCTAACCATGGATTAGATAATCAAGCTATAAAATTTTACCTTGCATTTTTTGCACATATACACCGCCATACTATATCGTTCATCAGATATTAATCTGTCTCGTAGACATTCGGATGACAATTGATCAGCAATGTCATCAAGAGAAGCAGAAATTCCAGACCCTAAGAGGCTCTGCAGCAACTCTGCGCGCCCCAACCAGATTTCTGCAAGTGAGAGAACTTCGGATGGTTCATCCATTGACTGACTGCCAACACTGGAGCTGCCAGCATCAGAAGATATATCATCAACATCTTTACTTCTTTCACCATTGTTATTGGTCGATTCAGTGGCACCTAGAAGCTTTCTCAGCAACGATTTTGCATATGACAAACCCTGCAAAAACAGGCAAAAAAAGTTGCTTTAATCATCCAAATCAGGTAAATGAATTATAGGACATACAAGATCGATCATGTATCCCCCTGATATAAATTACACCCCCCCCCCAATATGATTCGAGGAAGAGAATTTGAATAAAAACTGTCATACCTGCACAAATGCCTCTGTCGCATGATATGCTCGGCCAATTGTTTCAACAGACGCACCCACTGACAACTGTTTGGAGCTCAATACGTTTTTCATTTGACTGATGCATAGGTCCATGGCACTTCTTGCTGATACTAGCTCATCTGAACAAAGTGATAGTAGAGCCTAGAAGGAGAGCAGTGTCAAAAAGTCTGAAACTTACACTTATTGCCACAAGTGTAAATAAGAATAGCAATACCTTGAAGAGAATAATATCTGGGGTGCTTTCATATTTGTGAGATGCACGAACAGCTTCATCTTTGGTTGTGTCGCCAGTTAGCATCCATTCTTCAGCAATAGAAACAGAAGGTAGCCTATCTTGTCCATCTGCCGAATAAGATGATCCCTGGTCCTCTGGAATACCTGTCATCGCCTCCCATGCAGCTCTCTCAGAAGCCCCCAGTCCGGAATTCTTTCTTTTACGATAAACATCCTTTGACGTTGTCCGGTTTTCAGCATTACGTGGAGTCCATGAAAATGCCCTTCGAGCCTCTCTCTGAAAATTGCTTAAGCTACTAGTGAAGGATGCTTTTACTGCTGGCCCTGCTCTAGACTTCTGTCTTAACCTTGATGCAGACACAGTTATTCGAGGTTCTCTTGGTGGTGGGCTAATTGTAACAGAAATAGCTTTTGCTGCATAGGCCATGATAACATTGTTATCTCCTAATGCTGGGAACTCTTTGAGTATCTGAAGGAATCATAGAAGTAAGTCTCAGAAAGTCTCAAGAGCAAACAGAGCAAGGAAGAATAGAGGGAATTACTTTTTCAAAAGATATTTAGACATGAACAAGAGTTATAGACGCGCATTTCACAAGAAAAGAGATGATATTCAGAAAAGTAGCACAAATGAAAGAATCACGGAAAATTCAGAAGAAGATTGTTTCTAGATATACCAGTGAGGCGTATTGTAATTGTTTTCTCATTAGCAGAGCTTCAAGTATTAAATTGGGATGCTCATGAAGCGAAGAGCATCTCTGTTGCCAAGGAAGTGGTAATGCAGCTAACACTTTCAGACCTAAAGCCCAGGAATTAAGCCGGGCGACTTCCAAATCCGACAGATTGCTATCTCTTCGCTTGAGAAAGAAATGGACCTACAGAGAAGATGAAACAAACATTTTTCAAAAACCCGACAGCTTGTAATGCAATGAAAAAGAGGAAGAAAAAAGTTGTTACCAGAAGCTGTTTTGATCGAAGGTCAGGTAATAACTGCATTGCACCCATAACCACTGGTAGAGCATCAGCCGAGTCTTGAAGTGAAGATAAAAATCGAGATGCTTCGGCAGGACCACCACCATTGAGTGGATCAGTGGTTAGAAGCTTTACAAGCTGCCGTCCTTGTAATTCTCTTCTAAGATCTATTGATAATCCTGCACTTTCAGCCACTTCTAGCGCAGCGGACACAGCTCCTTTCCCAGCCAATCTTAGAGCCAAGCCTTCAGGGTCTTCTTTACATTCGGCTTCTACCTGTTTTCCATTTAGATTTTTGAGAGTGACACATCGAGCATACCAAGACGTGATCTCAAACTAAAGGAAGAAACATAACCTCTTGCCAGCTATTATGGCGATCATCTGCAGAAAGTATGTGGCTGTACTTCTGCAGAGCTTGTCTCCTATGCAACACCTAGATGCACAAAGAAGAATGAGATGTTAGGTCTCGATTGACTTATTACAGGATGACTGAAAACTAATATTACATGCAGGAATCTAGAAATGAAAGCAAAACTCCCTTATACCTCAAGACTAATTGGATCGCTTTCTAAGAGATGACAACTACACATTGTAAGAACATTTAAAGCTGCCTCAAGCTCCCACGTATGCATATACCTTAAACAAAGACATAGCAGAGCTTCAAAACCAATCCACTACAGAACAAAACTGCATGTAGCCGTTTGAAATAAGACAACAATAAAAAACTGTTTTCTGAGTCTACTAACATAAGCGTAAATTCCACATTATACATGCGTTTAGAAAGTTATAGATAACAAGTCAAAATAAAAAGGCTACTTAAGTGTAGATACAGAAAGAATGAATGTTTCGGCATCAAACATTTTAAAAGATCTACCAATGAATCATAGGTAAGAAGTCACAAACATTTAGCAAAAACAGGGTATGACATTAAGTAAGTAAACGAATCATTGGATAACATGGTTTATAAACCTCTCGAGGCGTATATAACTTTCACTGAAAGCATAGTAAACAAAAGCAATACGCAATCTGCAAGACATTAGTTTTCATACATAAGATAACCACAAAATCAAGACGACCAGTGTAGAAAATCGCTCACTCTTCTAGCACACCATTTCACTTCTGACCTAGCTCATATTAAATCCTCTAATTACACCATTTTCACCTTCTTTCTACGTCATTGCCTCACCACATAATGATTTAAGAAAAAGTGATACCATCAAAGTTGATTTTGCCCATAACCTAGCTGTTCATATCAGGGTACCTAAAGAAATTGATCCTTATGTTTCCAAAACTAACGTTAGATGCTAATATTAATCAATTCTCACCTAGTGATGGATCAGGTGAAAAACTACGGTTGGAAATAGATTTCAGGACAACCCAATTAAAATGAGCTTTACCATTATTGAAATCTTTCTAGGAAAACAAAAACAGGGAAAAAAAAAGGTTCATACTAATGTTCGCATCTAAACAGTAGCTGAGTTGGCTTGGTCAAATTCCTTTCCGGAGAACCAAAACAAAATGCTTAAACAAACTTTAATATATGATACTGTCCTTCATTGTTGTTACTGGTTATAGAAATTTTAAGTTTACTTACTTAAGAGCCAGTGTTGCTGCCAGCTGTTTGTCCTTTAGCCGCAGGCAATACTGCCAACTGTTGCTCTGGCCTCCATATCCCTGAGATCGTCCTGATGTTGAGGGATTTTCTTCTCTACTTTTGATTAGGAGCTGAAGTAACCAATCAGATGCCCCATTCCGCAAGAAGCGGTCCGAAAGTGCTAAAGCATCCATTAGTTTTCCTTCATCAATTAATCTAGCATAAATTCCAACAAAACGAACAATTAAATTAATCTCAAAATAACATAATCCATATAATCCAGAAAGTATTAAAATTTCAATCTGGAAGACTTTTCACAAGCTAACAAACCAAAAGAAGATGCAGACATCTGAGACAAACTGACATACCTATTTACAGCTTTCTCATACGGTACTTCATTCTCCCAATCAAAAGAAAGAAAAACGGTAGGATCAGTTTTACAAACTTCAGTTTCAAAGGATCCACCATCACGACTGCCGTCTGTCAATGCTGGTTGAATGTTATTTTTAGAAAAAATTTCTTCTGTATCCGACTCTGAGTCACTATCATGTTCAAGAAGTCTCTTTATCCCAGTTCTTTCATCAGGCTTAATCCGTGTGTCATCAGGTTTTTGCTTAGGGGTCACAACAAATTCCGAAACTCGATGAAGATTAGTTTGCATCTGTATCCATCGGTTTAAAGTGGGATACCTATGAAGAAAAAGTAAAATATCACAGAATAAGATGGAACATAGGAACTGAGTTGATTTCAAATGAAAGGAGGAAAGAACACTTTGGCTTGACAGTACCTCTCAGACTGATCAAGAGAAAATTCATAAAACAATCTGTCTGCATCAGGAGAACTTGTAAACTCATCGTTCAAGGAGCTAGATACGATAGAATCACTGCCATTGTACAATATGCTCCCACCAAAGACGCAAGCTAAAACTGCTCGTACTGGGGATATTTTTACCAAATGCCTGATAACATCCAACTGAAGAGGATACAGAGGGACACCAGGTGTTGCTGAGGAACGGACATAACAGTTAGGTTTAGCCTCTTTTGAAGGAGAGAGCACTTTACCATCTGAGTGGGAACATGGAGTGGTTGGAATGACGGGAATACAAGCCCACCCATGACCAGAACGTGGAGGATAAACTGGGGGAACACATGCTGATATCACTTCATGAACAAAATCCGCAGACATGACCTCAGCAACTTTTGCAGCTGCATCAGTGCTACTTCGATCAAAAACCAGACGCGTCAATAGCTGCAACATGCACATGGAGTGGTTTATGAATATAAATTGCTAAAGTTCACAGAATAGAGGAAAGCAAACCCCAGTAGTATATCTCTAAATAAAAACAGAATAAGAGGATAATACCACAAGCATGAATAACAAGGAAGAGAGTTTATATGAAAAATATCCTGAGAACATGAAAAAGAAACACTTACGTCTTTAGGCCATTCATAAACAAGAGAGAAAAAGTTGAAATCATGGGTTGTATCAGTTCCATCTACTATGTCACCAATAGCAGCAATGTAGAGGATAAACTGAGATAGATAAGTAGAGGTTTTGTTGCTTAATGGGCCCAATGTCTTCTTTCCCTTGTCTTCTGTTTCATGGGAAGCAGGATTTCCATCCACGTCTCTATTTGCTGAACCAGGACTTTGCTTTGTATATTTTAGCCCAAGACCAAGAACTCCATCCTTCTCAATGGCCATGTCTGATCCATCCCCTTTGAGTACGTCAACTTCTGGTTTTTCATCAGCGAGTGCTCTCGCTAGGTTATGAAGCTTACCTATTGTTTGTTTGAAAAACAGTTAGAACTACATGAAAGGTCTAAAATACATAATTAGCAAAGAGCAGATGAGTTAATTGCATACTACAGAAAGAACAAATATAGAGCGTGTAGAAAGACAAAATAAAATACCACTGAGGAACTGTCGCTTGCCCCTATGAGCATCCTCAATCATTTGATGTAGCATCGCAAGAGCACGATCGTTTTGTCCCTGTCTATGAGATTCCATACAAGATGAAATTATGGTATCTCCACTAAAACTGGCTTGAAGAATTTGAGGGTTATCCTGAAGCATGACAGTTCAGGAGACTAGTAAGAAAGGCAAACCGGAATAAGAAAAGAAAAAAGAGAAGGATCGTAACATGTTGTGCACCAGAGAATTCAAATATTGTATAATAAGTGCAGGATTTAAAAACATTTCCTCTGTAATGGGAGAAAAGAGCATCGTAAAAGACAAAAGATTTCTCTACTCACATACTACTTCCTATAGTAAAGTCATAACAGCTTTTTTATATATGTCATTTCCCTCTCTTAGGAAGTCAAGCAAATTAAAAACATTACCTCAGATAAAACGGTCACCATTTGTACCAGGCAATAATATCTCATATGATCTCCCCAAATCAATCAACATAAAACTTAACAAGACCAAAAAGAAAAAATATCATATCAAACTAAATGAAAGTTGTGCCTCTAATGCAACTTGAACACTGACCTGTTCAAGGAATTCCTGCAGGCGCTTTAGGATCCTTCGCAATACAGAGATTATTGCAACTTCGTGGACCTGATCCCAGTAAGTAAACCCCACCTTTGGAGATCCTCCAGGGTAAATTTCTGATAACATAACTTGAGACTGCGCACAAAGTAAATTCTATTTAGGAAAAACAGTAGTAGGTATACTTTTCTGAACCTTTTAATACAATGGACAAGCATTGCTTTTAATAATTTATCACAGACATTAACCAACCACTATTTCTTAACCACAGTACACTATTTGGATATCTATGCAAACAATGCCTTCGACCGAAAATATTACCCCAAAGCTTGATTGCTTAGTCCAAAAGGCAATACAACCATGTAGAAGGATCTATGGTAAACCAGACTCCCAAAATGCAGTTCACCAAACTAATAATATTTGTAGAGAATGCAAATAAATAGAAGATACCAAAAGAAAATATAGAACAGGGGACAGAGACCAAGTACAAATAAGACACAAAAGGTAACCAAAAGGTTACCGTTTATAGACCAAGTTAAAGTAAAAGGAAATCAAGAACACTGCTTGCCTTATCCAACAGTTGTTTGGAAATTGTTGGAGACTTGGCAGAAGAAGCAGCCGCATCTATGCATAGTAGAATCTGGCATCAGAAAAAGGTAACTAACTTAAAACTTGCTTAAAGGTGGGTAAGGCAATTGCTTGCAGGATAATCTTGTCAGGATTTCCTAAAGCGTTTGTATGGTTAGAGACAAGAATTATAACGTCATGGACTTACCATAGCCAATGGACTCAATTGGGAACCTAAAGAATGAAAATCTAAATCTTGCACGGCAGATGCTCCTTCAGCAGTACGAGACATCACATCTTCTACCTGAAAATAATAAGAATCCGAGATATAGGTAGATAATCTCCATTTAATTCAAGGTTATCCACCATATGACTAATCCTCTGAAATAGCATAGGATAGAATTTGAACAGAACAATAATTAATTTCAATGACGTCGGCAACATTTTACGAACGATATTACAATATGCATCCCTAATGACATAAAACAAGAACAGTATACAATATACAATCCCTCAAGGCAAGAGAAAGAGGTCTCAAATCAGAATTGTCTAATCCCATTATGCGAGATATAGGAACATATAAGGTGATATATAATATACAAGCACTGTGATGTAATCGAAAGATACCAGTGTTCCTTTGAATGCATTATCAACCCATTCAGCTAATTCAAGAGTGGCTTTATCCTCTGCTGATAATGCAAACCGATGAACTGCCTGTTCTCCAATGTCATACTTAGCTCTCTGCATACAGCTGCAGAATGAGAGTTAACGTTTTAAAAAAGGGGAACTCTGACAGAGACAAAACGGGAACAACTAACAAGTAATGATATACAAAAAAAACACAGTTTCGCCTTGAAAAAAGTTTACTTCATAAACTATTTCATCAGCACAGCTAGAACCCTTGTTCTTTAGCAACATACTAAGATAGCAGCACAGTTTCTTACTAAAAAAGCAACTTCACCACAGACCTCCAGTGAAAATTAAAATTCATACCTCTAAGTTTTCAGTCCTCTCATCATACAGGTTACGCATACACACTGACTCTAGATAAAATAGTTCAGACAACTTGAATATCATTTAATTAGCAACCCAAACCCCCAAAGAAACAAATTTATTGATATTTTAACGTTTCTCTACATACAGAGATCATGAATTTTGAACTTCGATTTGGTTACCTAACATTTTAGACTTGAAGATAGAAGAAACAGTAAGGTAACAGTTTTCCCTGATGACTGAAATATATATTACCAAACATTAAAGGATAATTCTACTTACAGATTAAGCAGTTTTTCAGGGGCCGCCCTTAGAACACTCAAAACATCCTTTAAACCCCACTGGCGTTCAGAAAGTGGCAGAAGATGCTGCATAACAGATAATCGCCATTCACAATCATCAATGAAACGCTTAGCCAGAGATACTCTCCATTCTAAAGCCTGTCTTCCATCAGTACTGTAATTACCATCCAGCTGACACTCTTGTTCAATCAGATGTGATGGAAGATTGCGGCGTAAAACATCGAGTAGCTGTTTTGTGAAAGAAATAACAATTTCCTTTTCCCCTTTTGTATCAAGATCGCCAAGATCCAAACCAGGTGTGTTACTTTTTTCAGAAAAACACTCCGAGGAGGCACTTTGCGTTGAACTGAGATGGATATCATCAATATGTAAGAGTGAAATAACTATGTTCACCATCATTATCTGGAAACAAAAGAGAACTCATGTTAAAAACATGTAAACTGTAACGTATTGAAAAAATTTAATGTTCGATATAAATAACACTGATGATGTAGTATGAGGCACATCATAACATATATCTTTGTCATTTTTATTCAATGTAAATAGTATGCAATTCTACTTTTTTCAATATGGTGTGACCACAATATTGATGAGAGAAGCCCAGATTCTTGTAAATTAATCAATTTATATATGTATACTACCTTGCGTGGAACATTTTTGATGGCCTCCAAATGGTTAGTGAGGTCTTTTAAATGGTAAAAAACTACTTGATGACTAGCATCCGTATTATCTTTCATAGCCTCTTCCAATGCACCTAGTGCTAAAACGATTGCCTCCAGAGCATAACGCATATGCATCAGTTCAATATCTTCTATTCTACAATATAGGAAGACATCAAAAGTGATATCAGAACGACTCACCCCAGAAAAATAAAAATCAAAAGAGCTTTATAAATGCACAAAAGATTTCTACATAACAAGAGTGCTAATGCAAAAATTATTGTGAAGGGTCAGGTGCTAAAATCAAAACACGGATACATCATACATCTATCCAAGAAAGTAAAGAGACAACTGATCAAAGTATTTGTATACAACATAGCTATATAAATTTTATTGAACTGACCTCTTCCAAGCTTCTGCAGTTGAAGCAATAGGTTGCATACTAATCAGTGAAATAGCTTCTTGGAATTTTATGCCCGGAACAACATCAAACAATACCTACCCAATGGTACGCAATTAAAACTTGTCCGAGTTAAGAGCACCAAGAAAACGTACAGATTATCAACCCATTGATAAAAGTGCCACTATCATTTGACCTAACAGAGACAATTTTACATGACCATACTAGGAAAAAACACATGCCACTGCCAGTATATACCAGTACCTAGTTGAAAAAGTTTGACATAGCTTGGCAAAACAAATGAAAGAATTAACAGAGAGGTTCAAAGGGAAGAGGAAAGAGGCAAACATCTACATATTTTCTGTGAAGATAGCCTACAAAAACTTAGACATGTTGCTTAATACATAAATAGTGATTTGACATACTAAGTGCCAACGCAAACTCATAAATTCAGTGGAAAGATTTCAAAAAACATTTAGATTTATATTGTATGAAATTGATGGAAATGTCATTGTCCTTTCCAGAGACAAGGTTCATTATTTCAAAATACAGTACTAAAAGTCAATAGGGCATAATGAAAAGTGATGTATATTCTTTAATTTCTCCAAGAGCTCACGACAACAAAAATAATAATAATAAACACCTAGAATACCAGAAGCTATTAAACTTTCATTTTATTTGATCCAACGAAGCTTGCTAACTATAACAATGTGACAAACTCTTACGAAACAGATATCTTAACCCTCATAAAATTATATATTTATCCAATATTGACTTCAAATGCCACTGTAATCTTGTAATTAATTAGTACTCCTGATAAACCATAGTAACATATGCTACAATATCCTCGTCTTGTATATTTCTCTTCTTATTTAATTTTACGTATTCCCTAGGAGACAACATTCCTACTGTAAGCAAATGAATCTACCCAGCATGATATCTAATGAAATTTTCCACTGACAATACTAAATTTAATCATAGCTTAGAGACATTTATTTGTACAGATTCTTCCAGAACAATTTTCCTGTGGGGGGTAGCTAAACATAGTCTATGTAGAAAGGATGGTTTAAGAAACCCTACCCGAAGTGGACTTTGCGCTGAAAGCCTTTCCAATACAAGATTTTCAACAAAAGGATCCACCTCCGCATCATCATTCGCGGGTGACACATTACCGTACATCAAGAAAGATGCCTTTGGAGTCCATGATTTACCAGAATTGACACAAGCAGCGAAAGATGCAAGTTCCAGCTGATAGCATAATGTATCGCAGAGGTGTTCGACACAAGATTTCTGCCCAGATCATTGTGTCCTGTTAGACTTTCACTGTCATCTTCTAAATATAATAGATCCAAATAGTAGTTTTTGTGAAGGAAAAAAAAGTTACTTCATCTGTCTGGTTTCCATAAAGAGAAGATTCTTCTAACCGAATTGCTTGCGAGTCACTAGTCGAAAGTAGCCGCATCAATTTTCTACGTGTTGCAGTTTTGCCCGGCAACAGATCCCAACCCATGGAGGCTACTAATGGGCGAAGTCGGGGAAACAATGTAAGAACCTGAAACATATGAGCAGAAGAGGTTTCAGATCCCAACAGAAACAGGGAAGTCAAATGGGGTAGCAGCCAATCAACAATACTGCGGTAAGGTAATAAGTACGAAAATATGTAACTTTATTCTATTCCACCTACATCATTAGCCTCCTGAATCTTCTCTTTCTTTACAGACGACAAAGCAGCACACATCACACACTCAAGGACATGTGATCCAGAAATACGAGCATAATGATACATATCTCTGAGACAAGAATTAATCGCCCTCCTCATAGGGGAACTTTTGTCCTCTATATTTCTCTCAGTTTTCAAGTCTACAAGATATCGCTGGAAATACTCAAGAGGGAGTGGAATTTGTTCATTGTCGAGAGATAAATGTAGCTGGCTCTCTGGGAGGAGAATATCATCTTGAATACCCTGCAGAGGAAAACATTGTAATCACATAACAGCTTATAGTACAAAATAACTTAATCAAAGCCATGCATATACATATTTTAATCTGCACATATAAGTAAACCATTCAACGCAGACCGACCACTTAACTAAACTACCTCCAGTGTAAATATTCACAAAGTATATAGAAGAAAAATGCCAATTGAATATACAAGCTTCAAATGCCAGCATAATCAACTAAGTTCCTAATCACAACAAATATTAGCTATAGTACATTTACATATTAGCAGGTTCTGTAAACAACTTGTTTATTTTTGCAGTTCAGCAATCTGTACCAAATATAGTTGTTTCTTACATGTGAAACCTCAGTTTTTAATGAGAACGATCCCCTATATCAGCTTTTATAAAAATTATACCAACCTGGATCATCTGAACAAGATCTCCGCAATTCGATGAGAGAGCTTCTTTATAAATAAACAGCAAGTTCTGGCGCACCATGTGCCAGGAGTCACCATATTCATCCTTTTTCTCCATACCTCGTGAAAGGAGAGCTTTTAGAACAGCACTATCAGAAAAGAAGAAAACAGAATAATTGAAGTAAGTTCTCTTTAGTAATCCTAAACCCTCAGACTTTAGTAAGCAAACAGTTATGATACATAAACTCATGTATTTGCGGACTGAATATAAATCAAGCACATACTGATAATTCTCTTTCTCTACTCCATAATCAAGGTGGAGATAACGTATGCGATCAGCTGCTCCACGCACATCCCCTTCATCCAACTTTGTCTTCATAGCATCCAACTGTGCTAACTGAACATTTCTCTGTATCAAAGCAAACACGTTGATGTTATCCAACTCCGGAGAACCAATGCATGTAGCCTCATTTATCCCCTTTCCCTGTTCTTCTCCCTGAACTTCCTCCACCAAACATGTATCGTAACTCTCGCAACGCGCAAGTTGCCTCTGTATATTACAACATAAAGCATCGAAAACATCGGAGTAGTCTAATACTATACTCCTCAAAGAAACAACAGCATCTTCCTCAATCTTATTACTTCCTTCACTACTACTAGTATCAACATCAAATTTCAACCTCTCAACACCTAACTCCAAAACACCTTGCAAAACCCTTAAACAATTCCCTAATCCACCATTTTCATCCTCACTCTCCTGATCTTCCTTAATCCTCTCTGTAACCCTATCGATCAAAACCTGAACCATCAACAAGAAATCCGCTCGCAAACTAAGAGTCTCCGAATCAAATCCCCAAGGAGAAGTAGGATTTTCGAATCTCAGAAGTTCAATCGTGGAGAGGAACGAGAGAAGAGACGGTGAAGGACAAGAGCGTGACCAAAGGACATTATCGAATCTTCCAGCGTTAGAGACGATGGTTTGGAGAATCGTGAGTGCGAGGTCAGGGTTACGAACCCTGAGAGCGAGTAACGTAGCCTTCAATGGCTCGAATTGAGCCAAATGGAGGTGGTTCGCCGCGAGACGGGAGAGAATCTCCGTTTCTGAATCCATGGCCGTCACGAATTCCGATCACTGAAGCTAGTACATACCGATTAATCTTAAAGCTCTTTGCTCTGAAATTTCCGTAGAATCTGAAATATCTCGTGTGATTTTTCAGATATTTTGTTTGTGAAGAATTTTGGTCTGGAATTGTCAAACTTAGCTGAGAACCGTCGCGTAATCGAGCAGACCATTAAGGCTGGTATAGTAAATAGATTAAACCGCTTGATTAAATCGGTTAGGTTTCCCGTTTCTGACTTGTTAACCAATGGTTTTTGTTTTTCATTTCCTTTTTCTTTCTTTTTTTTGTTTTTGTTTTTGCAAACCAAAAAAAAAAATTAACTTTGGAGTTCCATTTCCACAATCAGCTTCATGGTGGAGACATGTATCAGTAGGCTCTAATATAACTCCAAGGATTGAAGATGATACATTTGGATAGTCCCACGGTATGAATAACAAAGATGGAAAGCAAAAACAAAACGTTCACGATGCCAAAATACGAATATTTTCTAAAACCTCCCAAAAAAGAGATAGTATCACTCTATTAACCTTTATCAAGAAGTTTTAGGATCTTGCATTTGGTAACTGCATGTTAAGAAATGGGTGTAAAATAATAATTTAGAACATTTGTTACGGTTATTTTGTTCTCCGTTTAGGATTCATATTTATGGTTTGTTTCTCTCAACTTTGATTCATAGTTCTTTACAAAATGTTGTCTTAGTGTCTGTATTTAGTATTTACTGGTTTTGTAGCTTCTTTTGGATGGTTTAGTGTTTCGTATCTTTTGATGGTAATATAAATTCTTTTTTTCCGCTAAGTTGATGGTAATATAAATTCATCAGTTGACAAAAATATATATATATATATATATATATATATATATATATATATATATATATATATATATATATATATATCTCTATTATTCAAGTCTTCTCTCGGCCCATAACTCATCCTTGTCCGGCGGCCGGTTCGTTATTTTTGGAGGTTTTAAAGACTTGTTTACCGACCCTACAAATCACCACGTGATTTTTTTTTTCTGTGTTTTGTCCTCACTCAAACGATACCAACAATCACTTTCTGATAGGTCACCAATCATGAACTTGCTCTAGCTCAAGTACGCTTAACTGTAGAGTTCTCTAAGAATGTTAAACGAAAATATATGTGCACTTTGGTGACATAAGACTGTTGTTGGTACCGGATCACACACCCCCGATCATTTTAGTACTTTGGAAGCCCATCTACTTACGAAGCCCATGAATGCCCATTTTGCATAAAGGAGGTGGTCAAATCTTGACATTAATGTGTGATTCAATTCATAGATTAATTGTCATGGTCAAAGGAATAAACTTGCCATTCAAGTTTATATATAAGTGAATATTGTTACAACTATTTTTGTCACAATATATAAATATTTGGTCACAAATTTTTTATTGTGACAAAAATGATACGAATTCTAAAATGTCACAATAAAATGATCACAAATTCATTTAAGTCTCAAAAATGTCACAAAATTTGGTGACATAAGACTGTTGTTGGTACCGGATCACACACCCCCGATCATTTTAGTACTTTGGAAGCCCATCTACTTACGAAGCCCATGAATGCCCATTTTGTATAAAGGAGGTGGTCAAATCTTGACATTAATGTGTGATTCAATTCATGGATTAATTGTCATGGTCAAAGGAATAAACTTGCCATTCAAGTTTATATATAAGTGAATATTGTTACAACTATTTTTGTCACAATATATAAATATTTGGTCACAAATTTTTTATTGTGACAAAAATGATACGAATTCTAAAATGTCACAATAAAATGGTCACAAATTCATTTAAGTCTCAAAAATGTCACAAAATTTTGTGACGATTGACATGGTAACAATTTGTCACTATTTGTGACGTTATGAAAACAGTCACAGAAACGACACAATTCGTGACGAAAAATAATGTAACAAATATGCCACAAATAGTGACAAGATAATCGTCACTTTTCTGTCATAAATTGTTACCACTTGATCCGACTTGTTACCAAAATAATGTCACGATCGATCATTATTAGCGACTGAATTACAGTCACAAAAAGGTCACAATTTGATTTTATTTGTGACGTTTTCCTCCTACTAAATACGTAATAAATTGCTACGAAATTTGGAATATGAAAACCATAAAAATTTAGTCACAAGTTGTTACAAAAATGTTTACCTAACTAGATTTTATCCCGCGGTATACCGCGGATCGATTTTTTAACTAAAAAATAAATTTTAAATTGTATTTTTAATATTGTTTATTTTGTTAAGTGTTTACAATTGTATAATTGTATTTTGATTGTTAATTTTAAGATTTCATCTGTGATATTAATACTGTCTCGTATTATTATCGATCCAAACCCGTCCCACTATATAACCCGTCCCGTAAAATTAAACATCATTTTGTTATTTTTAATAATATTTTATTTAATAGACATATAATTCGAGTCAATTTAAAAGTTTGATTTTATACATATATTTTTAAATTTTAGTTAATAATAATTAATTATATATAATGATTTTATGCTAATATCTTTGATTTAATTTTGAAAATCTAAATAATTAATGTCAATGGCATTTGATCGTAAATAAGTTGGAACTCCATGATTTATTTCATAAATGTCTCCAAAAATGTATATATAGATTGAAGGCACCACGTTTTTTATTTAAAAATGTTAATAATAAAATAAAACATTAAACTGAGATCGATGATGCATATTGAGTATTGACAAATATTTTGCTGTTTACTTAAATTGAAAAATAAAAAGAAATCAAATTTCCAATTCAGGGAACTGTAGAAACATTTTAACAATCATGGATAGCATAAGAATTTAACCTAAATAACAAATCATAATGACTCAATTTGTATACTTTCTAATATGCTTCATCATCCATCCTTGTCACTCATAAGATGAAGAAAGTCAGTAGCATGATTAGCTTCAATGGGCTTTAAGTGACATGATGCATATTGTAATAATCTAATTCATTAATCTCTCCACAATGGATTCTGGATGGGTCATGTCTGATGCCTACCTAAGACAAAGTTGAAGACTTCGTTAATGAGGAAACCAAGCAAGGCAAAAATATGATAGATAGTAGAAGAGCAATTAGTCAATTACCTTTGATATTATTCATGAAAAAATCTTGTCAACGTTAGAGAAAGTACACCACTATGGCAGTATATGAGATTACAATCTATAAAATGATTGACACAAAAAAAAAAAACACAGAGGTAGATGAAGAATATAGGGAGATAAAGAACAACATGTTGCAAAAGATATATATCCTTTATACTATAAAGCAGAAGTCACCTGACCAATAAGACTTTGCCACATAGATTTTTTTGTAATTTTAAATTTCATAAAGAAAATTTTAAAATAAAATTGAGATCGTTCAAAAAAGAAAAAACAAAAACTTCTTAAATATCCCTAAATTTTCTCCCACACCATCACCACGTTTTCACGATCTCTAGATCGTAGAAACTGTCTCATCTTCTTCTATAAATTTAACCCACTGTAAACTGAAAACTCATTTGTTTCATCTCGCAAAATTTTTTAACTTTAACTTCTCGCCAACAGTCGACGTGGTTGCTATTAGAGCATCGCTTATATTTCCAGAAAATCTCAGAGATAGTTGTCTCGACCCACTTCGTCTCCAGCTCTAACACGTCTTCAACCTCCTCCAATTCCTATGCCATCGCTGCCACTGGAGATTGGAGATTGTTAAGGCTAATCTTTCCCTATCCATATTACCTTGTGAATCCATCGGTAGATTTTTCAACGGTTCTTATATATGATAAAGATGCCGACGCAATATCCGGAGATCAGTCAAATGTTATCAATCCATTGGTCGCATATCCCTCGAGCACGTACAAGTCCGACTAATGCGACTTCTATCCTGTGTGTAATTTTTTCCAGTCATCCTACTTTATATCCCGTCTAAAAAGCCTTATTTTTCTATGTCACCATGATTCTCATAAAGTTTATCCTCATCTTATGAACTTAAGTGAGCCACATCAGAGATGACAAAGAGTGAAAGATGTTCAATCATCAAATGCCAAGGAAATGCAAGGTAATCACTAATTCTTCTATCTCTTTCCTTTTTGTTAATATTTTAAGCAAATTTTCAACTTCTATGCATCTAAGACATTTTAACTCTCTGCTTTGTTTTAGGAAGAATAAAACACAATTCAGTGACCAATACCAACGAGCATCACAAAATATTTTTTTGTTCTCATACCATTAGAAGAAGGTGTAATTTTGTCCATGCATGTTCTCATGCGATACAAATCGTGTATGGTCTTTTTTTCATATGAGATCCTTGGTTATTTGAAAGTCTTTGCTAATGATTGAATGTGATTGTAATTGGCGTTGAAAATGCAAGATGTATATCCTTTTATGAGAACAAGAGCTATAATTCTCCCAGAAAATATTTCTTTTGCAATGTTTTTTATGTAAGTATATATATTGTGAACATATGCGTTTATCTTTTTTTTTTTTTTTTTTTTTTTTTTTTTTTTTTGAATCTAATGTTAAATTATATTCAAAAGAAAAAATAAACGGTTTTACAACTTGTGCAACGGTTTGCTTAAAGAGAAAAGTTGAGTGAACAGAAATTTAAAAAAAAAAACCCTTAAGGTTTAGCTTTGATCCAAGTTTGGTAGGCTGCTTCGAATCACATGTCACCTTTGATGCGAATCGCCGAGATCCGATTCCTTACTTGCTTATCAATCCATGCAATTAGGCATTCTTCCGAGTGCGGGCTCTCCCCATGTCGTCTCCCATTCCTTTCCTTCCATATCATGTAGACAGCGACTTGAAGAACGTATCGAATAAGGAATCCTTCTACGCGTTCAAGTCGTTGGTTTGAAATGTAGTCGAGAATGAGTGACCAGTCTGTTGTGTACCTTGCTTTTAGAAGCCCCTTTGCTAGGGCTGCCCAGATTTTTGAACCGTACTGACATGAGAAATAAAGGTGATCTCGAGTCTCCAAATGGTGCTGACAGAGGATGCAATTTCCCGGAGCTCCGTGGTTCCATTTAATCATACGATCCCCCGTTGAAAGTCTATTGTGGGCTGCCAACCACATGCAGAATGAATATTTTGGTGTTGCGTGTGCAAACCAAACTCCTCGATGCC